CAACAGTGCCAGAATGGCTGCACAAATGGAAGATATGTCTAATGTCTGAAAAAGGAAGTTCACTCAACATTTTCTAGTATCGCTCCACTGATAAATCCACTCTCCTTAGAATAACCCTCCTCAAAATGCTACAGCCTGTCAATACATGAAGAAGCATAATGCGCATGGCTATCTGGGCATTTGTAAGTATGGAAGCAGCCAGATAGCCTATTCTTCCAACTGCCACTGATATGCCGTGGCCATGAATTCAAACTTGTCAAACACTTTCATTTTTGGGACCAAAATTTGCACAGATGCGAGAAATTGGTTTATGGAGTATGTGCATTGAAACTCAAGAAACAAAGGCAAGGTCACCTATCACTGTTACTGGAGAGCAAATACAACCTGCTGTTGCTCCTGAAAAGTGGTGAGGTGTTCCAGAAGCAGCAGAAAGCTTTGTATGGCATCTACTCTCTAGTCTGTTCCCAGGTTTTAGCACGACTTCCAGCCCTTTGGTAGTGGTGGCAAGCAAAAGCACATGATATGGCAACTGGCCAGGGAATCCTTGATTATCAAGCTATGGGGATTTCCTTTGTGGGGATTGAGAGATGGGTTCAATGTCGCACAAATACAAACAGGACAATAAAGAAGTAGAAAAAAGAAATGGAAATATATACAGTAAAGTAGTGGCATCTGAAACAGAATCCACATTTTTGGGGACGGAGACAAAACAGAACAGCTAATTTATACTATTTTTGAAAACACGGGCTTGGTGGATCTGATTAACGTGATAACCCTCACCATCTTACTCTCCCGCTTATGAGGCCATGCATTCCCTCTTTCCCATTTCATGGCCTAACAAAGATTTTAAAAGATCATTTAAGTAAAATATATATTAAAAAATGTATAATATATGTAATATATAAATAAAGTTTCAAGCAATGCAGATTTTCATGTGAAGGATTTTGACAACTAATAGCCACATTTCTTTGACTATTATTGAGTTACAGCCAAATATCCGTAATTATTCATTTGTTTAGATTTTATTTTTTATGAATCTATAATAAACGCAATATAAAACCAATTTGGAGGTTTAAGAAAACACTGTGACACAGAACACTTTAAATGAACCGAATTTGTAATAAAAATGAAGGGTCAGGTTAAAATTTTTGTATCGAACTTTTAATAAATGGGCCACTGTTGGGACAATTATACAATTATATAATTATTGAAAAAAGGGGATAGAAGTAATCCAGCAAACTATAGGCCAATCAGTTTAACTTGCATAACTGGAAAGGTAATGGAAGGTATAATCCAAGTGAATTACCTGGATTTAAATAACATTCTGAGGGATAGCCAACATGGATTTAGGAGAGGTAGGTCCTGTTTAACTAATCTACTTGAGTTCTTTGAGGAAGCTACAAGAGAAATTGATAACAAAAAGGCCTACAATGTGATATACTTAGATTTCCTGAAGGCCTTTGATGTTGTCCCCCACAAACAGCTCTTGCTTAAGCTCAAAGGTGCAGGGATTTTAGGAACTGTAGCAGCTTGGATGAAAAACTGGTTAATAGACTGGAAGCAGCGGGTAGTTATTAAAGGCACAATATCGCAGTGGGCCTGCGTTCATAGTGGGGTACCGCAGGGTTCAATTTTAGGACCACTATTGTTCCTAATTTACATTCATGATATTGACACCAATTCATACAGTAAACTGGTTAAATCTGCAAACGACACCAAGGTGGGTGGTGTAGCAGATACTAAACTAGAAGCACAGAGGCTACAATGGGATCTTGATTTAATTAGCGACTGGGCTGATACCTGGCAGTTGAAATTTAACGTAGATAAATGTAAGGTAATCCATGCAGGGAGCAGAAATATAAAGTACAGATATTTTATGGGTTCCACTGAAATAAAGGTAGCTGATTATGAGAAAGACCTTGTGTGTATGTTGATGCTTCCATGTCCCACTTTCACCAGTGCGGGGAAGCAATTAAAAAGGCCAATAGGATGTTGGGTTACATCTCTAGGTGTGTGGAGTTTAAGTCAAGGGAGGTGATGCAACGATTATACATTTCCTTGGTAAGACCCCACCTAGAATATTGTGTGCAGGTTTGGTCACCATACCTTAAAAAGGACATTGCTGCCTTGGAAAAGGTTCAACGTAGGGCTACAAGAATTATTCCTGGTCTTAGAGGAATGTCTTATGAGGAGAGGTTAGCTGAGCTGAATCTGTTCAGCCTTGCACAGAGGAGATTAAGGGGGGGACATGATCCAGGTATATAAGACTCTAACAGGTCTCGATGGTATTCAGCCAAATGGCTACTTTAATATTAGCTTAAATACTAGAAGTCGTGGCCATAGGTGGAAATTAGCAGGAGAACATTTTAAACTGAATTTGAGAAAACACTTCTTTACACAGCGTGTAGTTAGAGTATGGAATAGTCTTCCTGCAAGTGTAGTGTGAGCTAAAACCCTGGGTTCCTTTAAATCAGAGCTATAGCCAAATGACCTCCTCTCGTTTGTAAATTTCTTACGTTCTTATGTTAAATGCTGTGGATTTTGTTTATTTGGGAGGCATATTTTTTTAAAGCCTTCAAGTGATCAAGTAAAAAAATTACCAGATTACGGATGCAAAATGAAAAAAAAAGTCATATGAAAGTACACATTTTATTTGTTTATACAGTTAACATTATTTCATTATAGACATATATAACAATAAATAAAACCTGGAAACGACTGTAATGATCTTTAAGCTTATGTGCAATATTGCAAATTAAAAATACAACATGAGAGACACTCGATTTCCATTCAAGCCTTTCTATGTTAGCACAAAAGGTTTCTATGTGTTTTTGCAAATGCAGCAAAGAGACAAGTAACATACATTTAGGATGAATATTGGTTAAGTGGGACGAAGGGTAAACTGAGACACTATGTGTTTGATACTCTGTACAGTATCTTTTTTATGCCTCTGTACATGTGGTCTATTAACTTAGGCTCAGTTCCTGAGCTTTCAATAATACGTTTATGGCTTAATATTTATAACTAGGATCATATTTTTAAAGTGAGAAAGTAAATTTTCAAAAATCATCCCACTTTGCAATCGTATTAACTGTTAATGCTATATATCAGGACATAAAGTATAAGAACCCCCCCCCCCTCACTAAAATAATAAAGTAAAAAGACAGGTAAATGCTAAACCAATTGGCTATATAAATAAGAAAAAATACTGTTCAATATGTATTGTGATACAATTTTTCAGGCATTGTCCACTACCACATCAGTTTGTGAATGACCCAAATAATTCAGCTTTTCAATTAATATTTTTTTCACTACATAAAGCTGTGGTCGGTGTTGCCATAGATGCATACATAAAAGTGCAATAACAGTCTTGCAAATTAACTAAAATATCTGCAATAATTTCATTATTATGGCAACTATAGTTGCAAATGATGTTATTATTCAGCTTAAATAACCCAACTACAATTACCTAGGGTGTAAGATGTAAGCTTAATTATATCCACAAACTAATCACTATCCACAAAATGTCCCACAACTATCCCCCCCCCCACACACACACATAATGTTACACAGCTTCTGGAATACACAATTCTGCTCAAGCCACTTCAACATCAAATAAATATTGCTAATCTCAATTAGCATACCAATGTTTGAAGAACAAAGACCAAAGATAAAAGTAAGCTTTACAAAAAGTTTTAAAAAAACGTCTCAAATTAAGACTGTAAGTAAACGTCAATGCAAGCCATTACATCACAGAAGCAACATCAGATTAATAAAATTATATGTAAAGAAATCACTTGTAAGAGTCTGTTCCAATTAAGAACAAAACTCATTTAGATAATTGTGCACCTTTGCTTTTAATATTAAAAAACTGTGAGCTTTGTCTTATCTCCATTGGTGCTGCTCCAGTGAGCAGAGAGAGCTTGAATAACTCTTTGAAATTAGCATATTTATCATGTAATTTTCATGACTGCAAAATCAATACAAATGTATCATTTTAAATTCATAACAGACATTTTTCGCTAACCACAAGAGAAAATGCTACTTTTCAGGCTGTATGTGCTCAGATTGAGATTACCTAAAGTTTTATCAACATAATCCGTAACAAGGTCATTCCTAAAGTTACCAGGCTTTTACACAGTTTTGCTACAGACTAAAATTTTCATTGTAATTGTGCTTACAAGCTCAGTGAAAAACATTGCCCAGTGGCAGAAAGTCACTTTCATTCACATTAACTCCCAAGTTAGACTGAAATGTATTTGTGTTTTATGTACAAATGTCAGAATGGGAAAAGTGGAAAGGACTAAAGTTGTAGTCCATTCTTTATGGATGACATCCTATGAATGCGAACCCCAACATCTGTAACTGCCAGCCCAAATGATATTTTGTACTATAGATCATTACTTTGTGTGTCTAGTTTTAATTGCTGCTTCAGATTAATAGTATTTGGGTGGCTTAATAGGTCTATGTGAATCTCTTTATCATAATTTCAGACTTCCTAGTATCTGACAGTGGTGCAACCACGTCTTACCAGTAAACTAATACTTTAGTTCAAAATTTCAAAAATAATCAAGATTTGAAACAGGAAAATATAACAATAAATTATCACAATAACTTATTATTAAATATTAACTGAACCTTAAACGTATAAAGCACAGTATTTTTAGAAAGACAGAACGCTCTCTGAATGATGGACCAAGCTTTCTTACATTAAAAACTGGCAAAATAGTTTCCATAACATAAAACTGAATATTTAGAAACCTTAATAATTTTTAAAGTGGAAATAACTATGTGAATATAATTGGAATAGTGAATATAGCCACTTTCTATTGTCAGTGTAGCTTGAGCTTAAAAAGGAAGGGTATGAAAACACCATTTTGGTTTTTGGACTATATACTCTAGAACACCAGCTTGCTACCTATTTGGGCACGTCCAAATTGTCTTTCTCCTCATTTCATGAACACGTACATTGCAGGAGGTTACAAAATTAATGTAACTACCTTTTAGGTCCCTTCGAATATGTGAATGTGAACGTTGAGTCCGCGTATCGAAAATCTGAAATAAAGATGCACAAATAAATAAACCATCAGTCAATTAGAGGAGATAAAGCAGAAATAAACACAAAATGGTGAGGAAAACACCATCACCGCAGGAAAAGTCCCATTTCAACAAGTGCAGTTTCCATGGCAACGTCAGAAGGGGTTTCCACTGACAATGGAGGAAACGGATAATAATAATGACTAAATATTAGCAGAGCTATTTCACATACAAAAATCGCTATCCAGTTTTTAATCTTCTTTGTCATGCTCTGTTGACAAAAATGATCAGGCTTAATTGATCCTTACATTTGGGTCTGGTGTACTGATAAACAGGAACCAACGACATGGGTAGCATAATAATTCCGTTTTTTTACTTAACAGAATCTGATGTCTACGTTTAGTCAAAATAAATAGCTCCGTTTTCGAACAACTTCGTAGCAAAAGGTACAGGTAATAGGCTAAAATAATAGCAGGTGTACACACCGTATAGGTGGTCCGCATATTTTAAATTAAATGGACATCATATAAGGCTCGAATTTCGCTTTTGTGCGTATTAAGGTGGTTAACCAGCTGTCAGCAATTAAGTTATCTCGCCAATGATGCCAAAATATTGCAGGAAGAAGCTAGCTAATGCGATACCGTGGCCGTATTTTCGGCAGTGTATTTCAATTTACAACTAGTTAGCTAGAAAATGTATGCACGAGTAGAGCCGGAATTTTAGGAGGATTAAGCCATATAACCTACGCTGCACATCACTGAAGTCGGAAACTCACCAGAAAACAGGCAGTCTTTCTCTGCCTTGCACCTTTGAATTACGATGTCGACGTCTTTTTGTATTCTCTCTTGTCTTGAACACATCCCCATAAAATAAAACCCCCTGGAATGGCTTGTTTTATTATACAGTAAAAATATATATCGGATATCCTTTTCAGGATGTAAGCGCCGAGCTTTCATAGACTGAATTCCGGATAACTGAAAAAAATGCGCTTTCGCTCTTGGCTGCTTCCGTAAAAATAAAAAGACCAGGTGAGACGACGAGCTCTTTATTAAATGATCTCTCCGATAAGAATAGACACGAATGAAAAGCACCAAGACTCAACAGCTCCGCTTCTCGACGTACATTTCATACCGATAGCTGTTTTTTTAATATATTAAACCGGAAGCGCCGAGCACTATTTCACATCACCGCTAACAATGGCGATTTCGAAAGCTAAAGCCGAGATCTTCCTTGTCTGTTAAAGAGAAACGCGCCCTGTTATTAAAACCCGGTGCAAAATAAAAGGAAAAAAAATAACTGATCAGGGACACTGAAAGTACACAGTGTATCACACGAGACGTTCTGCAATTCGGTGCGAGTTGGTGATGTAATGCGCGTCTCCGGTATTTTCTTTCTTAGCTACAGTAAATAATAAGTGACAGGTAATTGATTTATTCATGAGGCTGCATTGCGATTATATCGGTTAGGGCAACTAACTGATAACCGATACAAAACTGAGGTGGTTGCATGCAAGCAAACACTCTTTACACAGGTAGATTTGTGTGTGTGTGTGTGTGTGTGTGGTGTGTGCGTGCACGGGTTATATATATATATATATATATATATATATATATATATATATATATATATATATATGGTACTTTGAAAAGTTTCCCCACATTCATTGCAATAGTGATTGAAATTGATTATGACCTTGATACCATGCTCCACCAGAAATTATCATTAGAATGCAGTTGACTCCATAATATGGAAGTCTTCAGTCACATGATTTATGTGCACGTGCAATCAGTGCGTACGCTCCTGTAGTTCTTCTTATATCTGCATTCAACGTGAAACACATTCGGAATGGAAACTGAAGGCTTAAAATTACCTACTGCTGCCCCAGTGACAGCCTTGTGGGTGTGGTGGCATGTACATCCACGTACAATTGCTTTAGATTAATACTTAAAGCTTTGAAGAATTCTAAATGTACTGTTTACATGCACAGATTTGATCAAAATACTATCAGAAGCCTGTCTCAATTTTACAACAGCCTTTCCTGTTTTTCTTCTAAATGTATTATGAACCAAGTAGTCTGATTCTAGCTTTTGAATATGTATATTCTGTGAGACATACTTTGAATGCGATAATGGCAAGGATTACAGCTTTTTACGTATAAAAAATTCAACATCTTTAAATAATAGGAAACATTATGCTTATGTGATCGAAGTATTGTATTGCACATTTCTGTCACTAATATCCTTTTGGTTCATCTCCAGCATGTGATGTTTGTTTGTTTGCCTTTTAGTGTTTACTAAAAGATGTAAACTACCTTTGGCTGTCATTTTAAAGCTGTTTGAGTGACTGCAGGATTAGCACACCATTAGTTCTAACTGAAATAGAAAGCCTAATAATCACACATCTAAACATTTAAGTAGAACGTTCTTCAGATAAGAACCATGGAAACAGAGCCACAGGGAAAAACTGTCTGAGGCTTTACATAACATTATTACCAACAAGCGCACATCTGGAAGAAATCCAGAAATGGTGTTATGTCACATGAGTTGGTGAAGGGAGGGTCAGCAGAGGGCAGGTTTCATTTGCATGCATAATTCCCAATAATTAGCAGCTGTTTGGTAATATTGTTACATGCTTTCCAACACCTTTTGTAAAGTAATTTTGAATACAAACCTCACTGAAATTGTCCTGTAGTAACATTACTGATGATTGGCTTGTCTGATTGTTTGTTTGCTTGTTTGTTTGTTTTTGCTTTTTTATTTATGATGTTTTTCAAGGTAACATCCCTGGAAATACTTACCAGGGTGTTCCCCTGCCCTGTGCTTCCTGGTCCCCAATGTTCCCCACAACCTAGAATTGCCATGAACAGATGAGTGGATAAATTATTTTTTTGTTTTACAATTATATACAAAGACTATGGAACCTGGCTGATGTGCTGGGTAAAATGTCAGGCTAGTTGCTACTATCCGTTATATGATAAGCTCTGAACCCAGTAAAGATCAGAGAAATAAAGAGTAATAAAGATCAATTATGGCTTTCACCAAAGCCCAAGTGATCTCAAACCATCCACAGACTGTAGCAGTGAATTTGAGAATGCAAACTGTAAATGGTACTGCTCCGGTAGTGAGGGATAAATGGTTGACTCTGTGCTCTGACCACAAGCTTCAGTACTAGAACAATTTTTTTCCCCGTACAGTCAGTTTGGGGTTGACCATTAGGGATTTACAAAACAGTGAGTTAATGTTTGGAATAGATCAGTGTGTTATCATCGAAGCAATTTGCCAATATATCTCAGTAAATAATAGTCACAGTAGGGAGTACTTCATAAAGGCTGTAATTATTCTATGATGTCTTCCACAGCTGAAGAGCAGTTTCCAGTATTTGGGTCAGATGTGTAGTACAAACCATATAAACAAGATTAATAATCCAAACAAATTAACCTCAAATAGTATATATTTTTGCAATTATATCATGCAGAAACAAAGTTGCATTCTTCCCTTTACTTTGACTTGAAAGCATGTGCTATGATTAAATATACAGTAAATAAAATGTGAGCTTAGGAAGTGAAATTAGACATGATATAATAACAAATATGTTATTGCATTCAAGATATAATCTTTCAATCTGAAAAGACACCCAAAACTATCTTATTATGTATTAAAGTAAAACACTATGATACAAACTAAGAAATACCAAAGTCATCCTTTATCAGAACAGACACCAGTTTTCAAAGGTTAATGCATCTATAATCTTTAATTAGACAGAGGAAAAAAATGCTAAATGTTCTCTGTGGTGTAATAAAAGCAGTCTTTGGAGAAATTAAGAGAGAGCTAATAGAGAGTAAACCACAGATCTGAATCAATATAATGTTAGTGTGTTCATGTTCATTTTAAAGTCATGGTGATGAAACCAGAAATAACTTCACAAAATGATTTCCCATTACAATCAATCTATTTATCTTCCAGCTACTTATCAAATCCAGGGTGACAAAGAGCCTGTAGTCTGCCTAGGATGGCGTAAGACACAAGGCAGAACACCCTGGATGGGACACCCATTTCTGATTATCCATTTATAAATAACCCTGGATAGACAGTTCTATAACTTAATGATATGTGTTGCACAATCCATTGTCATATTGGGCTGTGATATTTGCACTTGTGTTCTTCCTGTTAGCTTTAACGAGTCTCCTCTGACCTCTCTCATTAACAAGGTGTTGTCATGAACCAAACTGCCAGTGACAGGATGTTTTTTTCTAATTCATTTATTTATTGTGCAATTCTCTGTAAACTATAAACACTGTAGTGTTTGATTCCTAAGATTCTGGAACCACCACAATCAAAATTACTTACATTACACATCTTAGCCATTCCAATACTCAGCTGAAGATTAAGTGAACCTGTTGACACTGTCTGTGCATTGTATGTATTCAGTTACAGCCTTATGATTTGCTGTTTAAAGGCTTTTTGCATTAATAAGCAGGCGTACATAATTAACTGGCCACTAAATGCATAAGTGTATGGCTATAACTGCAGCTGTCATTCCTACTCTTAATGAAAAGTCTAGCAGAATGGATCTGGTTGTGTGGCCTCACATAGAAAACAAGCTTGATTATGTAACACACAGCATCACAGGGAAAGTCCCCAACAGAGAACCACCCCTTCTAAATCTGAATAGATAATTTTACGAATACTCTTCTAATGCATTCTCATTTCGAGAACATTCATTATATTGATAAATAAAAATCAAGTTTAAATTCTGATTAATACTTTTTACTGAAGAAATTACTTCAAGTTCTTGACTTAAGTTTGACTGATGTCATCTTCCAGTTGTCATTGTATTTCACTGGTGGAAGGTGGCACTAATTCAGGCTAGAAAGGATCTATTATTCTCTTTGGTAAAACAACAAAACAAAGTTGAAAGTGTCTGAAGTTTGGCTATTATTACCACCCACTGATATTTGTAACTCTTTTAACACCCCTACAGTTTTCTCACTATATTCTTTTGTCCTGCCGAATTTGACACCTGCATTTATTCTTGTGTACAGCTGGTTACCTATAATATTTATCAAACCTATAAATGACATTATACTGAGCTAGCATCAACATTTCCAGACTTTGAATGGTGATGGTCAGGAACTTCTGCAGACGTAAAAAATGTTTCCAACATCTCTGGAAGACTTCATAATGCTACTTTAAAACCTTTCATCCATCCATTAATCTAGCAATACATAGCTTTCTCATAGTATATAATACAGTAAATGTTTTCCTGGGTAAGTTTGGTTGCTTCCAACTGAAATATCTGCAATTTTTGCTTTCCCCTACTGAATACTGATTGTCTTGGTTTCTATGTCTAATACACTAATGTGTATAATGCAACACAAATGCGGAAACTCACATTGTTCATACATTATCAGTGAATCATATTGTGTAAATTTTACTGATGAAATGTTTAGTATTGTGATGAAACTGTGAATAATGGAAATATTTTCATGAAATTTTTATATGTGCATTCATTGAATAAATAAGTAGGTCATTACATCTCTGAATGTAAGTTTTCATATTTATCACAACCAGGACTCAATGCACATTTATTACCTTTCACAATCACGGCCAAACAGGGCTGCCCATCTACTGCGCCAGATTTTCTGCCCACTTGTTCCATGAAACAGCTGCTGACTGGATGGGCAGTTCCAGCACAAGATGTACAAAACTAGGTTCAAGTGCAGATAACTGGAAAATGAGGAACAGGAACCAGACTGCAGAAAACAAGAAGCATAACTATAACAAATATAATCAAGATATTCATGTCAGACGTAAGAGCAAGACACCAATTGCCAAGCACAGCAGCTGCAGGCTGCGACTACTCTACCGACTGTGAACCAAGGAACAAGATACCAGCTAACCAGGACCAGAAACTTCAGACAGAATACTGGCCGTCAAGATCTATGGACCCAAAAACAGGATGTCAACACCTAAACCAAAAGGCCAGTGACCATGTTGCTAACCCAGAATAAAACTCTGGAGTGACACAAACAAGCTAAACCAAGCACTGGAAACTTTACTCTGAGTCAACCAGAGCTCTGAGCCCTATGCTCTAAGGGCAATGACAATGACTGAGTAATACTCACTGCTCTGTCTAAATACATTTCAGAACCAATTACCACTGGCTCAGAGAGCACAGGAGATTTTAGGATTTGACCCTTTGGGGGGGTGAACAAATATCAGAAGTCGAGTGGGGGGGGTCCCACTATGAAATACAGGATTCCACTCCCCCGTGTTATTGGTTGAGCAGGGGGAACAAATACATACAAAGATATAAGACAAATCGCTAAATGTTTTCAGAATAATTCTTTTCCAAGGAGTCTGAGACAAGAAATCGGGCCTATAACCTCCTCTGGTCAGAACAAGACCACACAGACCACTCTCACTTACCTGACCCCCAGTGAAGGACAAGTGTACAATATTAGTCTTGATGAAACTGAAAATTATGTAATTGCGCTGGACTCTTTGCTGTATTTTTCGTTAGGTTGCTCATAATGTTCATAATGCTGTGTTGTTTTACTTTTCTGACATCATGGCTAATACACAGTCCACCCACTGTCCCCATTTGCAGTGTAATATGATATTTTAATGTTTTATATGTGATACATACGTCGTGGTTGAGGGTTTGACTCCCACCAGCGTAGTCTTTGCATGTACTCCCAGGGTCGTACAGATCACCTCTCTCTAGCTTCCTCCCACAGTCCAAAAGCATAATTGCCATCTAAACCGCCAAATCTATGCTAATATGTGTATAAGCGCCCTGTGATTGAGATAATGAAGGTTTGAATTAATACCTCCAGCAGTTCATTCTGACAACAAATGCTCCATTGCAGCTTAGTAACATTTAGTAAGTGGACAGAAGTGCATTTCCCCCCCAAACTTCCAGCAGAGGGCACCCTTACAATAAATTGTTTTTATATAAAGTTTTTTACTCACTGCATTTTGTTACAATGTATTATCAGACAATTTCTGTTTAACTTTCATAGTGATTGTTTAATATTAAGCATAAATACACACACACATATACACATATTCAGTACTGTATATATACAGTATATCACATTGGTGAAGGCCATCTACTGAAACTCAGTGACTGGGTAAGGATGTCATTAATCAGAGAAGCAAGCAAGAAGCCAATGGCAACACTGAAGGGGCTCATAAGATCCAAAGCTGAGATGGGATAAACTGTCATTGGGACAATTATAATCAGGCTTTTTGGATGAGTGGTGAGAAAAAAAGTATTGCTAAAAAGAACCTATGATATGAATCATGTGAGAAAAGGATCCCTGGTCTTATGAGATCGAAATTTAACCTTTTGGTAAAAAAGTAAAACAGTATAAATGGTGGAAAGGCAACATCGTTAACCACTCTGAGAACACTATCGACATGGTAAAGCATGGTGGCGGCATCAGCAGGGATTAGTTAGAATCGGAAGTGAGATGAATGGAGCCATATTCTATCAAAAAACCTGCTTTATTCAGGTTAACAAATGTGAGACTGGAACAGACTCGCTTTCTAGCATAACAATAGCTTACCCCAAAAGGCTTGCAGCCAAGGATGGTCCTACAAAGTATTAACTAGGCAGCAGGGAGTTGGATACTGCTGCAACCAACAGTGACTGCTTTTAAAATCACCATCTATGTCACAATGAAAATATTTTCCACCATCACAATGTCATGTGTTATACATGTCCCATTTAAATCCATTTTAATTTCAGGTGGCAACAATATAATTCCCTTCCCTTCAATCCCTACCAGTTCGCATATCGTGCTCCACAGAAGATGCCATCTGGAGCGGCAGCAGAGCTACGTCCGGATGCTCTTTGTGGATTACAGCTCGGCGTTTAATACAATCATTCCTGTAATTCTCATCACCAAACTGGTCACTCTCGGTCTCCCCCCTCTCACACGTGTCTGGATAAAGGACTTTCTTACCAACTGACCCCAGATTGTGAGACTCAGCCCCCACCTCTCCTCCATTCGCACTCTGAACACCGGATCCCCACAAGGCTGTGTGCTGAGCCCCCTCCTACACTGTCTCTACACCCACGACTGTAGTCCGGCCCACAGCAACAACCTCATCGTCAAGTTTGCTGACGACACCACAGTGATCGGACTCATCTCAAAGGGAGACACGGCAGCTTATACAGAGAGTAGGTCCTGAAGTTGGCAGATCAATCTGGCTCTGAACACCAAGAAAACCAAGGAGATCATAGTCGACTTCAGGAGGCACAGCACCGACTTATCCCCTCTCTACATCCACGGCGAGTGTGTGGAGAGGGTCCACACCTTCCGGTTTCTCGGCATCCTTTTCTCCGCTGACATCTGGACAGACAACATCACAGCAGTTACCAAGAAGGCTCAGCAGCGGTAACACTTCCTGAAGGTCCTCAGGACGCACAACCTGGACTCCAACCTGCTACTGACCTTCTACCGCTCGTCCATCGAGAGCCTGCTGACGTACTGTATCACAGTGTGGTATCACAGTATGGTATCACAGTACTGTATCACAGTATGGTATCACAGTACTGTATCACAGTATGGTATCACAGTACTGTATCACAGTATGGTATCACAGTACTGTATCACAGTGTGGTACGGCAGCTGCACCATGGCAGACAGGGAGAGTAGTCAAGGCAGCACAGAAGATCACCGGCTGCCCTCTCCCCTTCCTGATGGATATTTACACCTCCCGCTGCCTCAGCAGAGCGAAAAACATCGTCAAGGACAGCTCCCACCCTGGCTCTGATCTGTTTGACCTGCTGCCCTCAGGGAGGCGCTACAGGTGCATCACAGCAAGGACAAACAGACTCAAAAACGTTTTTTTCCCAAAAGCCATAACCACTCTAAACTCACACATGCACTGACTACACAGTCTAACCCCCCAACCCCTGGACTTCCTTCTAGTTGCAAGTTACACAATGGCATTTTCTATGAATTATTTTGCAAAACCATAAAGCCTAAGAGAAAACCTTTCCTACATATAAATATGAAGGACATACAAACTCATGTTACATAAAATATTTCCCTATTATGATATAATGTTACAATGGTGCATCTGTGGACAGAAAACTAATTCCCCTAAGTAGGGGGAGTTTGAAAATCTCCAGGAATCATATGTACTGTGACTGATAATGAACAGCCTTGGAAACAACTTTATAAATGACACGAATAAAAATTAAAATCAAATGAACTGTAAGAATATTGTAGAAAACACATTATTGTTTATCACAAGGACTTTGGGGGGGGGGGGGATTCCACATGAGTATATGGAACACATCAAGGTTAATGGTCTAGTAGATTACAATGTGATCTTTGTGATGAATGATTGATTTGTTTTCCTCTAAAAGCAAATAATAAAACCAAATGGCAATGTCATTTGGCTGGCATGCTGTTGTTTCGAATATGAATACTAATTAATAATTTAAATTAAATATTCAATACAGTAATACAATGTTCTATTACAAACAATTCCCTGATTCAAGATTCTTTATTTGTGAAGGACGTAGTTATACAAGTACAACATATAGTGAAATGTAAAACGTCTTATTTTGCTTGCAGTAGTCTAACAATATCCTCCAGTATGTTTACAATGTCTTGTGTGACATGACACATCGTTCAGTGCAAAATTGTACACAAAGCTTAACTGCAGTGAGATAAGATAATCAGCTGAATTTTTCATAGCTTGCCACATCAAATGTTTTGCAATACTTCCAGAGTTTCTCTAGGTTGTCTACAATATTTAGTGACAACCTGGAAATTGTATTTTTTTTCCCCATGCTATCATATGCGTATTTTTAAGTAGATCCTAATGCATTACATTGACTGGCAACATGTGCAGGGTATTTAAGGAAAATGGATGAAAGGATGATATGCATGTATTAACAAATATTAAATTCCAATTTAACTGTTTTACTTAAGAGGTAACTATTTCAATTCCATTAGAATTCTTCATATAGGCCTTCAAAGAGGGCTAGATTAATATCACTTTTACAGTCAATCGCCAGTTATGCAAGTGTGCAAGTTCCCTGTTCGTGCAAGACTACTAAACAGCATATGGTGTTACATATAACAGAAGACGGAGGTTGCAATAGGGTAGTGATAAAAAAGTTCATCGATGTTGACTAATAATTGAAAAATAAGCAAGTCTAATAAACTAGTCTAAAAAGCTAGCGTCATATAGTGACGCCGCGTCCATTCTTGTTTATCACGTGTTCACAAAATAAAATCGCTTTGGAAACCGCTGTCATCTTCATTCTAAAAACGTTCACATATATCTTGTGATTTAACGTGGAGTATTCTGGGCTGTTGAAAAGAAGCAACGTTTTCTGAACTTGTGGTTAATTCCACGTCGAACGGAATCTACTGCTTGTACAAACTGCTAGTAAAAACGATATGTAAAATTCGCACTAATTTAACGATCCTCCAAGGGTTTTGCTGAGGGGTAAAATTTATGTTATTTTCGTTTTCTGTCTTTATATAGATAAATTGGACAGTCCAAAATGTGCCAAGACTGGAGACCTAATTAACATTAAATACAAATTAATGCGTATATTATCTGAAATTAATACAAGATTCCCATTAAAACGAATTAAAAAGAAAAAAGCAGAATTTGGAGATGACGTCTCGAAAACGTAAAGCATGGGATTGTTTTACATTAATCCTAACCAACGAGGAGACGACAACTGCACTTCCAGCTAGCGATGGACCATTTGAGATCCACAATGACTTCGACCGAAGAAGCACGGCTCTAGGTTTACAACTCAGCGAAGGATAATCAATCTACTGCGGTTCAGTGGATGAGGCTGGTTCAGGGTAACGGCACCATCAGCTGTGATCTTTCAATAAAAAACTGTCATGGACTTATTGGGGAGAACAGAATTAGCATACACTACCACTCATGGTATGAAAGGGCAAGGGTTACGAAGTTTAACAAATCTACACTGTCTTTTAATGTTGCAACTTATTTCATAAGACTTGAAATTATAATTCTCAATATTTCTATGTTTAACGAAAAATTAATGAAATAAATAAAGGACTTTATTCGAGTACCGTGTTTTATTGGTGTTATGACTTTACAGGTAAAATGTCTTATTTTGTCAGATAATTCCAAATATATTCCAAAAATAGGTACAATTCAATGTTTATGAAGGCCTACTTTACCTGCCATAATACACACCTGTAATTCAAAAGCAACCAGTGTGAAGAAGTCACAGGCCTACACAACATTATTGTTTTGTATAAGAAACAGGTGAATGGTACTTAAACTATACAGAAACACAAGCGTTATTTAAAATTTTATTTTTTTCAGCACAGACTCATGGTATCACTGTACACTTAAGTCATCATCAATAACATTAAATGTCCATTCAAAAGGTTGTTTGATACAGAGAAACAAAGTGTTACACATTAACAAAGATAAAATTTCATAGAAATAGAAGTAATAGTTTGTTTACATCTTTTGGTGCAAGTCAGATGTGATTTCATTTCTAATGGAATTAATATACAAAGTAAGGGTCTGCTATCATATACTGCTTCTAGGCTTTCTTATTACCAGCTGCACAGGACCCAGTGAGACTGCTTTGATAATATTCCAGGCATCATAGTGCATAAGTCCCTGAAGAGATATCCCGTTAATGGCCAGGACCTCATCTCCAACGTCAATGGCTTTGGAAAGCTCCGCAGCGCCACCTGGAGACAATGGGCGGACACTACAGCTTTTAGTATTTGGAAAACTACTTTTATTCTTAATACACTAAATGTAATAATTTGGAAAATTATTAGCATTACTAAGACAAATTAAAATATTAAGGGGATAACATCCGGGATGAGAAAAGGTAATGATTAAATTTTCTAGATAGCTATAGTCATTATGAGCTATTGCTCTGGCTCGGAATTTTATAGCTTGTTAAAAATGTACAATAATGACAAATTAAGTTAGAGGCTACAGGTACACAGTTAGTATGGCTGGCATCTCTAATTTGAGTCTTAGATAGAAGATAGATGGAAGAACTAGCATTTGAAGATGTCTCAGCAATATCCCATTGAAAGAGTGATACGAGGGCAACATCCTACAGTAGCATGTGCTTCTGTTCAGAGTTCCAGAATGTCAGATTACCTTTGAAAATGCGTTTAATGTTGAGAGGTCTGTCTCCTTGAGCAGAGGCCTTGCCTCCATCCAAGCTGAAGCCCAGGCCTGCAGATGTCTTCTGGAGCTCCACATTAAGGGCACCGTCAGTATCATCTTTCACAGCTGTGATGCACAGTTTAAAAATAAATAGCAGGTAGCTGAGATATACTGATTAAACAGATTTATGGAAAACAAAAACTCAAATCAGCAGATCCATAATGTTGCATATTAGTAGGTCCATAATGATACAGTACAGTAAATGATGTCCTTTCTTGCAGATGAGTTTGTCTTGGATTGGTTCAGTTTAACTATACAGTAGACCCCAGTATCTGCAGTTTCAGTAATCGCTCATTCAGTTATATGCGGTTTGCCACGGTACAAAAAATTGTAAAATGTTTATATGTTTTTTCATTGTTCCTTCGTCCTCTTTCTCTCCTTCATCCTTTCATGGGTATAAAAAGCATGATTTTCATTGCTGCTACATCCTTTGATACATGACACTTTTCAATGCTCTATCATCTCTTGAAAATTAGGCAAAAAAAAAATCAGAATCCCTTTCGTTTGTTTGTTTTTTCGTTTGAGAGAGTACAGTTATATAGTACTATATAATAATGTACAATGTACTTTATTATTATGGTATTTGATGTTGGTAATGTTTTAATGTGTGCAATTTATCAATTACCAAACATATATGGGGTCCGTGGGTGCTTTGCTGTTATCCGCGATTTCGGCTATCCGTGATTTCGGCTATCCGCGATTCCGGCTATCCGCGATTTCGGCTATCCGCGATTTCGGCTATCCGCGATTTCGGCTATCCGCAATTTCGGCTATCCGTGGTAGGTCTTGGAACATACCACCCATGGATACGGGGGGACTACTGTAACATTTTTAACATGACATATTGCTGGACTTCTCACCTGATCCGGTTTCTATAGAGATGTCTTGTAGATACTCAGTCTGTCTTGCTTTATCAGTGGTCGAAGCCTGCGTGGGTTCACTGTCCTTCCTGGATCTTATGATCACCAATGCTTGTCTTTGGAGCCGAGCTTTGTGGAGGTAGTCCAGGGCTTCACCATGTGTGCTCCCCATGACGGCAGTTCCATTAATGGAGATGATGCTGTCCCCCCGCTGAATGGTTCCCTCCACTCTAGCAGGCCCTCTGGAAAAAACCCTGTGAACCTGGCAGAAGGAGAAAGATACTACTTGTCAATAATTAGAATTTAGTGTATTTTCTTCATACTTAAAACATAACATTAAATGAGTTAAATATCATACTCAGGGCCAGATTTACTAAGCAGGGAATACTAGCATGCGTGTACAGTGGCAGTGGGCAGTTCAGCGGGTGACCTACTAAAACTGCACAAATTTATTAACACAGACAGTCAGTTCATTTAAACAATGACCAACCCAATCTACCAAGGGCAGTGCAAAATAAGACATGTTTTTTTTTGGTGTTAAATGATGGTGTAATTTGCTCTCGAGTGCCTACCGCAAACCTTAGTAAATCACATTACGTGATTCTTTTAAATACTCTTCTCCCCCTAATTTTGCACTTTGAAGAGGAACTCCTACAAATGCATATGCAATATGGCCAGTCGCAAAATTAACCAAGTGAATGCCTTTCCACCACTAACTTTATAATATAACTTTATAGTGCCTATAGTAAATCATGACAGTACTAGCTTAAGAGCAAAAGAGGGTTTGCGCTGGCGCAAACCATTCATAAATCCTTACAACTGAGAATTTGTAACTTTAAGTGAATATTCCCGTCATACTTAATTAAGAAGTTTGCTGGAACAAATCAACAGATAGAGGTGATCCAGCTTTAACAGCAAATGATCCAGAGGGTAGCGTAAGTACAACTGTGTAATCTGTTTCATTTTCTATTTCGTAAACTTACTTGCAAATCTGTAATGATGAGTTAAATTATGAAGATTTCTGACACCTGGGAGTCAACGGCTATTTTAATCTCAGAAATGGAGTAGTAGACATTCAGTCAACTGTAAAATTAATGGAATATTACTTACGGTTATTGATTTTTGCTCCAGGTCAATCCCCCCAGCAATACTAAAGCCCAGACCAGAGCCTTCTTCTTTAGTTAAAACCACAAAGTAAATGTCTTCTCTGTTCTAGATGAGTGGACCAGGAAAATGACCAGGAAAACAAACAAAGTGGTGTCAGATGGAAACATGGGAACATACTTCAGTGTGTAATTTGGCAAAGAGTACAAAAGAATTTTCAAAAAGTAAATCTCCCCAAATGTCATTCTGTTAAATTTAATCTGACTCTCGCACTTCTCTCTTAACTGAAGTAACTAAACTGTCTGCCATCACCATTGGCAATAGAACTAAACACGTTTCTGAAAGTTTTCTGCTGTGGTTTGGATTAATAGAGATATCTGTAATAAAAAAATGAGCACAACTCCAGATTCATAAATTCCGTTCCACATACACCCAGAATCATAAATACAAAATGTGCTGATCAAGTGGAAAAAACTTACTAAGCCAAATTCAACAAGATGAAGTAATTACCTCAGACAGAGCCTTGATTTCCTGAATGAAGCTCAACACATTCCATTGGTTGGTCAGAGAGTTCAGAACTGTTTGCAGTTTTTTCTGATCCAGGGAGGAATTAGACAGATGCTTCATGCTGCCAGAAAAATACAACACAAGCATTGTTTATACTTCTCAAATTAAAATTACCCATTTCCACAAAAACCTCATACATTAAAAATGTGCAATGAAAAATTATCCAATTTTTACTAATTTTTTTTTACAGAAATACTTAGATCTGAATTCTGTATGACAGTGGTGCCCATCCTTTATTACAGTGAGAGATACATTTATAAAAAAGAAAAACTCTGGCGAGCTACCAAATCACGATAAAATTTCGCCGTTAGATGGTGGCCCCTCTCAGTATATTTCTCCAATTGGGGCAGCTCCCCCTCAGTATATTTTGCTGATCGGGGAGGTCCCCTTCAGTATATTTCGCTGATCGGGGAAGTCCATCTTGGTATATTTCGCTGATTAAGGCAGGTCCCCCTCGGTACATTTTGCCGATCAGGGGAGGTCCACCTTGGTATATTTTGCTGATCGTGGAGGTCCATCTTGGTATATTTTGCCAATTGAGGGAGATCCCCCTCCATATATTTCACTGATTGGGGGAGGTGCCCCTCGGTATACGATATGCTGTAAAACTATAAAACCGTCAGCAACAGCAAACTTTATGAACAATCTTAGAAAACCCATGCCATGTCATTTTTTAACTTTGCAAAAATGGTTCATATAAAACGGGATAATGACCTGCCAGCAGAGGTGGACTTCTAAGAAAATGTTTCAGTGTAATTTCTGAGTGTAGATACCCTTCACAGCAACACACCACCCAACACACATTGGCTGAACAACACCATACTACATACATTCTACAAACTTCTCAAAATTCTCCATGACAATATTTGGACTTGGTGCCAACTAAGTCATGAGTGCGGCTCTATAAACTGATACAGAATATAAAAATTCTTATCAACAGATAACACACAATTATTGGAACACTTACCTCTTTAATGATCTAGTATTATGATTAAGTTCTACATACCTAGAGTTAGTAAAATGAAAATTACACAGCATATACCACAAAGTGTTTAAAACTACTATACAAGAAATGCACATATAAAAAAGGTTCAGAATATAAAAATCTTTCATCACTACACACGACTGGACAAAGACTGTATAAAATATGAAATCTATAGGATTCTGACAAAAATAAAATCATATTTTCCCATCCAGCACAGAGATGAGTCATCTCTGTAGGTGGAGAACTACTTAATCGGGACAATGCCAAAAAAAACTTTTTGGAAACCCAGTGAGGCCTTTACCACACATTATTTCAGGATTTCATGGTTTGGTTTGAATACTTAGTTTTGTAGAATAGAGAAAGTTAGCCTTATTACCGCAATAAAACATTTTAAAATGGTGATTAAAAACTAACTTCTCCCTACAGCATTGTGAAGTTATTCTACTGGAGAATATAAAAGAGTTCCCTGCAGGTTTGGAGCCTAAAAGAAAGTTGAAATATATAAGGAAAGCAACCAAATACTTGGCAATTATAACTGTAATGAAATCGTTTTCTTGATACATTGTACATAAGCATAAACAAACATATTTAGGTATAAGTGGGTGCATGGTGAGAATTTTTTTCACCCACCTGATTGACCAGCTGCAGTGTAGATTTTGCTTCCCATTGATCATGTTTCTACTGCCTGATGTACTCCTGTTCAAACCTGAAGAATCTACTTCACTGGAGAGTGAAATCAGACCTTCAATATCTTCAGGCATTGTCCCCAACCTTGCCTGGCTATAGACCTCAAGCTTGTTTTCAGGACTGATGCTGTTTTTGTCCACTGCATGGCTGCCACTGCAAAATATATCGAGGTTTGGCATACTCAAAGTCCTCAGCTCCCTCAGTCTCCAGTTAGACAAGCCAGAAATTTTCTGGGCATTTATGCTTTGCATTACAGATGAAGTCTGCTTGGTCTTGTCCTGCTCCAGAGCACACGAAAGACTGACAGATTTTTCTTCTTTGTGGGACTCCTTCTTGCGATGCAAGTGGAACAAATTAAAATCGACCAAATTTGTCCTGCACGCAGATGTCCTTAGTTGGATGGACCTCGCTGGAACTTCACTGAAATTTTCAATGACCGAACTCAAGCTTCTCCTCAAGGAATGAGGCTCAGAAGCATGGGAACTTACTGGTCTTACGTGACCAGATGACCTCCTGCACAGTTTGCAGGAAAGCGTATAGGGATGAACACTGACACACTTTGTAACTGTCCTGTCATAGCAAGATATGTTTTCAAAGGATTTGATTTTCTGCTGGACAGAAAAGGGACTGGACCATGCTGAAACCGTGTCTATCAAGCGACTTCGTTGTTCCAGTCTTGAAAGTCTTAATTTAGACCTATCCGCCTTCCCATCAACCCTAATTGTGATGCTGTTGAAAGCACTATCAGCTTGACTGTTATTTACCTGGGGACAGAGTTTTCCTCTAGCAATTGTTCCTTCATATGAAACAATGCTGAAATGTTCCCTGTTACATGGAGGGCTTACAGGATTTTCCTGTTTAAACACAGAAGGTGGTCCAGATGATGCTGAAATTCCATTAAAATGTTTGTGAACTAATGATTCCGTCATTAAGAGAGTCTGGCCTGAAGCTACTTTGTTCTCTGGAATAACCTTCCTTCCCAGAATGGATGCAGCTACTGATGATGATGGCAAAGAAGATGGGGGGGAGAGTCTGACCTCAGTAAAAGTGCTCTGGAAAGGTATTGTTTCTGACTCAGCTTCTGGTGAAACTGTTTCAGTACGTTGAGCTGATTCTTCCTCTCTTAAGAGTGAGGATTCATTGTTGTTCTTTGCAAGTTGCTCAGAACGTAAATGGCTTTTTTCTGAAAGTTTTAAGTCCATAATGGGATTTTTACAATTGAGCACATCCTCATCTTGGCCATACCCACACATTTTTGGCAATGTGGGACTTTTCTCCAACTTTTTGCTTGCTTTTAAGTTGCAAGACATTTTGCTCAGCTGTTTGGGAGACTGACAAGGGGAAGCCAGGGGCTGCTTCTGAAATGGACTTTCAACCCCTGCTAGTCTGGTGACAGACTGATCCTGCACCTTACTTGTGCTCTTACTTTTACTTGGTCTATATGCTTTATCATGAAGTCTGGTTCTGCTATTTAATGGGTTTAGGCCTGAAGTATCACTCTGAGCTTTCATCCCAGGGCTCCTGGCAATGTGATTACTAACATTATGTTGTGGTTCTGACAAAGTCTGCACTTTCTTTCGTTCCTTATCTTTTGACACTGCGATTGACTGGACTCTCCCTCGTGTTTTGCACTGGCTGTAAAGAACCCCCTTTAACTTTGCTGAACCCAGTTGGGATGACGGCTGTAGATTACGATGCTTGTCTGAAGTAAACACTACATTTGTTTGAGGCAATGTGGCAGCTTTAGTCGTTGAGACAACATGACCACTGGCTGACACAAGAGAGCAGTTATTTAGCCTTGAAACGGCTTTGTGTGTTTTGCCAGACTGGACCACCAGTGATGACACTGCTGGCTGTTTTATGAAACAAGGAAGGTTTTCAACAACGGATTGGTGCTTCGCAGTGGCACCTCTGATGGACGTGCTTTGACGCTGTGTATATTCAGATGAATTCATCTCTTCATTTGCTTGGGTTTGAAGACCTGAGCAAGTCAGTCTTTGCGAGGGCAAGGGCAATTCTCCTTGTCGCAAATCGAAGGAATGTGTTTTTTTCATACACATACCATCTGAGCCTTCGTTTTGAAATAAGACAGATTTTTCTTGGATCTTGCTCATCTTTGCTTGACTTTCTGTGCTGGAGTGATATACCTCCTTGAAACAAATCTCAACTTGCTCTTCATCAGAGACTAAAACCTGCTGATCGCCACTCTGGAAAGGATCGGCACATTGGGTGTGTTTTATCTGGTGAACACCCTCATTACCAGAATTACTTTCTGAGTCAGAGTCATCCACTATGCCATACATGCACTTGCAAGAGCTACTATCGTTTGCTCTACTTTCTTCACTTGTATGAAATTGGTCCTCACTGCAGGAATCCTTGAAATTTCTGGAGTAATTGCTTAGAAACTTTTTACTGACAGCTAGAGGCCTGCTATCCAAATCATTTGATTCTGAAGTCGGAATACGAGTATTTTTAATACTGTTCAGGTTACTGCCCTCTGTTTTGCTTGGAGGAGATTTCTTATTTTGTACTTCCATACTGGCATTGGTGTTGATATCATCAGTATTTCCTGCTGAGCTTAACTCACAGATAAAATCGTCAATGTCGGTCACAGGTATCTCATTGAGCAAATCTTTTAAATTAGAATGTTCTGAGATGGTCTCTTGTAACTCTGGTTGCAGAGCAGCACCTTCCAGATTTTTACAGTCCTTCTCCAGTTCTTCTGGATTTTCCTCCAAAAGGTTTTTGCAGGACATTCCATCACTACTCACTGACATCATGAGGCTGGAAAGTCGGTCGACAGCTGCAGAATGCAAATACAATAATAAAAACAAACAGTTATTCAAAATATTCTATGTATTGTAACAGCATATGCATATGAAGACAACTAATGTGCTATCCAGAGTAAATATTAAAAGAATTCTAATATTAGTCATTTATATAATGAGAGATTCATTATGCTGGTGTTAGATTTGTTATGTCTGTCTTGAAAAAAACAGACAGAAAATTCCTAATTCAAAGTCTGATCAAGAGCAATGTGTGATGACTTCTGAACTAAATTGACTACTTTTTTTTTATTTGTAACTGGTGCAAAAGTAAATGAAGGAGAAGATAATTAAATCAGTTGTAAGGCCTAGCTGAGACTAACTGCGAGAAAAACATTGACAATATAAATTTTTTCATAAACTGAAAGATATCATAATTGTTGCAAAGCGAATATTCAAAATCACATGGTTCCAGCTTGTATAACCAAGAAAGTAAGAAACCTTTAACAAAATGAGAAAATCATTATATCTAACTGCCTATTACACAACATTTGACTCTGGTTATAGATATGGTTGTTTTGACGTTCTGTGATGTCCAGAAGGAAACACATAATAGCATTATACTTCAGAAATACTTAACAGAGAGTGACACAGAGATGGATGTGAAATAGATATTTTCACCCAAATTATGATAGCGTCAGCTTCTCAGGTCTGGGTTTTGTAACAAAATGCTTACAACTGTCAAGTACTGCCAGCCTTCATTTCTCTTATCCTTGTTTGTTTATGCATTAAAAACTAACAACAGATTTGTATTTGAATTTTAACTAGGAAAAAATGTTCACAGGAGCACTATAAGCTGACAATTATGAAAAAAAATATGAGACAAGTGAGTAAAGGAAGAAAAGTCAACCACCATAGTGGTAGAGCAGTCCCTCTTTTGTAGTTTTTTTTCCCTTTTTTTGCCAATGCAACCAAGCAATCTTGACATTGCATAATTCAACATGGATTGCACAAAAGCAGCCAGTGCATCTATCTATTGGGTAAAAACATCCATCCTGCTTTTTTTTTTATTTGGTGAACAGTGATAATTGTTGATGCACCACAGCACACAGTGCACAACAACAAAATGTGTCCTCTGCATTTAACCCATATGTGACATCGCAGGCGGCAGCTAATTCAGCCTGCAATGTCTTCTGTAATCATGCAGAAGAATTCTATTAGTATTTAGGTATAATTGCTGTGAGTTTAAACATACGTTTTGGAGTGAATGGAAATGCAAATAGATTTAAAGAAATAGAGTAATTATCGTCCATTAAAAAAATTAATAAAGGGAATTTGCGGTAACACTTAAGGCAATGTTTTTAGTAATTTATAAACACAATAATGCATTTTAATGAATTCATAAAGCATTATAAACATAGCTATAAATATTTATAAAAAGGCATAACACATTATGCCCATGTTTATAATGCATTATGACTGAATTATGAAGCTCTCAACTATAATGCACTGTCGATACCTTTATAATGCAATTCAAAGCATCCTTAATGGTTGTACTGACCATTATAATGTATTATAAAGGTATCTAAAATTCATTATAGGTGACAGCTTCATAAAGCACTCATGATGCATAATACACTTGGCTATAATGTGTTATGCCTTTTGGTAAACATTTAAAGGCATGTTTATAATGCTTTATGAATGCATTATTTGTAATGAATGAATTTATAAATTACTAAAAATGTGGCCTTAAGTAAAATGTTACCAAATGTGATAGTGAGTCATTTCACAGTGTTGTAGACTTTATGTACACTTCATTTACCTTTTAAAAGACACAAAATCAAAAGAAAACTGTGGACCCATAAGTCCACATCCATTAAATACCAATTTGATGCATAAAATTACACTTAACTCACAGAAATTATACCAAACTACCAAACAGATACAGAAAAGGAAAACCATAAATGAGGGTGGGTATTGGGTATGGCTCTACAGCATCTACAATGTATACATGAAGCCATAGTCACCATTGACACAAAGCCAGCTACTTGCTGTTCCCTCAGAGATGGAGGAGAGTACTGCCAGCAAGGAAAACACTGCTGTGCTCCTACTTCTCTTATGGAGCAAAAAGAAAGACAGGCTGGTCTACTCATTTCCATCTCAGCGAAGTTTAACGAAAATCTAGCATCACATTTAGTCCTTACAACGACCTGACAGAAATCTGGAACTGCGTTATACATTAAATCAGGCATCTTTTATGTCAAAGGTCAAATACTAAACTCAGCTGAGAAGAGCAAAACAGACTCAGATTGACCTGAATGGTCTATAATGACTTAAGGTTAAAATCTATACCCAAATATTTAATCTTTAATAACCACACTTTGGATGACAAAAATCAAAGCCACTGCAAAAAAAAAAAAAAAAAAACAGTATGAAAATGGCAAAAATGCACAGTTCACCTATAAAACAATACAAAATGTTACATTGTTAGAGCATTATTATTAGGAAAGGCCATGTACAAATGGATGGATAAAAGATCAAAAGTATGAGGAATTCTGATCAAAAGTTTCCCCTGAAAACTTACCACAACAACACACTGTACATATCTACATGCACTCAGCAGCTGCCAGTATGTTTGGCAGATCTTATCTGGTCTGCAGTGGTGGCAACTTCCATCAGTGAAATTCAGTGAGAGTTAGATGATGGTATCATTGAGATTTAAGTCAAAGAGAGCACAAAGTAAAGTCGTCACTCATCAGTCAACCTTATTAACTGAAATTTAAACCTCAAATTTCTGAATCACTATAATCAAGGTTCTCAAAATGACAATGTGTTAGTAAAGTATTAGTAAAGTTAACTATTCAGATTGCTAAGGAATCTGAATAGTTTTTGAGGGACTTGTGCATTCTCTGTGATGCTGCTTGTTTACATCATAATCAAGCTTATTTCCTACGTGTGGCCACACAATCAGATCCATCCTGCTAGATGACAGCTGCTGTTATAGACAATATGCACTCAGTGACCAGTTTATTATGCACACCTACTTATTAGTGCAAATAGCCTGCTCCTTCAGTGAATCGTGTACCTGCAACTCAATATGCAGTGCAAAGACACGGTCAAGAGGTTGAGTTACTGGGGGACTTAACATTAGAAATATTACAAGATATGCGATACAAGTGATTCTGAATGTGATATGATTGTTGGTGCCAGATGTGGTGGTTGCAGGATCTCACAATATGTCACAATAAATACCAAAAATACCCAAAACGTAATTATTATAGGCCTACCCACCTGAAACTGGCTTCTTAACTTGTAAAGTGAGAGATACTGGGAGGGTGTGCAAGACATCGCAGATTTCTTGATAAGTGGAGGTGCACAACAATTTGTCTCCTATCCCCAGTATCTCATCTCCAACACATAGCTTGCCCATGGATTCCTGAGACCACAGAAAGAAAAGAATGCAGAAACAAAATGCATCAGTAAAATACTATTTGACCTTAGATCTAAAATATATTTGCAAGTAATCTGTAGAGAATTTGCTGTAACTTTTGAACAGCTTCCAGGTTCAGTATAGCTGCTAACCCCCCTGTAGATGTATACATACACAGAAGTGTTATATAGCCAATATGCAGGGGAGCCCGCAGTGTTTAAGTGTGACAGATGCCTAACATGGACCAACAGTCTCCAAAGGAACTTGCTGCAGAGAGCTACTGCCACTGAGCAGTTTCTAGAAAGTTTATAATTGCAAAGATGCCTAAGAAAGCAGAACTATACACCCATGAGCCAAAACATTACGACCGCCCCCATGTGAAGCAAATAATGATGCGAGTGACTCGCTGCTCCTCCTCGGTCAGCCGTGGTGAGAACCTACTGAGACTGGACTGAGGAGAGAGAGACCACGAACCGCTGACAGGATGCTGCAGAAGGGCACAAATGGCAGGTCATGGGACTAATGTGACATGACGCACATGACATCGAGCCCTGCTGAGTATGGGGCTGCTTAGCCGCAGGCCAGTCAGAGAGCCCATGCCGACCCCGTCCACTGTCACAAGCACCTACAATTAGCACTGCAGCTTCAGAACTGGACCTTGGTGCACTGGAAGAAGGTTGCCTTGGCCGATACTCACCATGGTCGACCGTGAGCACCCAACAAGCCTTATCATTTGGAGATGCTCTGACCCAGTCATCCGGCCAAAACAATCTGGCCTTCATCAGTCATTCAGGTCATTTCCGCTGCTCATTTCTTCTGCATTCAACATGCTGACTGTGAGGACTGACTGACTGACCAGACCTTGACATGCACTGTTTTTACAAGACAGTCAATGTTTTTCATGCCACATGAGGGTTGTCATGATATTTTGGCTCATCTTTATATATTTCTGTGTGAAAACATTCAATAAATCTAAATCTTCTAACTGCTTATGCTGATAAGGAGCCTATCCCAGGCAGCAGGGCTAGAAAATACCATGAGCAGGTTCCCAGTCCATCGCAGAGCACATACACTATGGGAAACAAAGCGGCACCGAGTCACCTCACTGCAAGACTTTGGACTGCAGGAAAAAATGGCAGAACACAGAGGAAACTGGCATAGCATGTGGAGATCATACAACCACACAGAAGCTGGACTCGAACCCACAACCATGGAAGTGTGAAGCATCATTGCCACTGACAGAGTCACAGAACCACCCAACAATGCATAGGTATAAATATAATGCGCAATGAGTTCCCACTTTATTACCCAAACCTTAAAAAAAAGCTGCAAGAAAAAATATAAGAGCCAAACCAGAGCTCTCTGCCCAAGGCTATAGACTGGTTCTGGGGGATCCCCAGATATCCCCACACCAGCTGGGAGATGTAATCCCTCCAGCATACCCAGTGGAATCTACCCAAGGCAGCTCCTTTACTGGTTCACCATGTGGCACTGGTATAAAATGGCCACATCATCTCAGCTGACTCCTTGTTCAATAGAACTGCGGCTCTATTTCAAGGTCCCACAGGATCTCTGAACTCCACACCTCATTGCAGGATGTGAGTCCGGCAACCCTGTGGAGAAACCTCATTTCGGCTGCTTGCACTCGCAACCTCATTCTTTCAGTCATTACTGAAATACCAGTAGTACTATGAAAAAATGAAGGTTTTACCCAATTCAATACAGATGAGGATGGATGATTTAACCCATAAAATGCATGTAATGGATGTAGATAAAATAGACGTGATGGATGCAGATGAGATTATACCCATGTACAGCCAGTATTTGTTAGATTTTTCAGTCAGTTTTGTAATTGCATTGTGATAAGACAAAAAATCTTTAAAGCAGTGTATCCCAATTCGGTCCCCGAGCAGCCGTAGACAGTCCACGTTTTTGCTCCCTCCCAGACAGTCACACTTTTGCTCCCTATTGGGAGCTGGGAGGAAGCAAAAACGTGGACTGTCTACGGCTACTTGGGGACCGAATTGGGATACACTGCTTTAAAGCATCAGCCTGTTACGTGATGTGAATGCATTTTGAAATGAAGAACATACTCTTTCTGCAGGCCCGCCTGGCTGTAGCCCTGTAATCAGGACCTTGAGGGGGGAGGACTTTATCTCCAGATCAAGACCAAAGGACTCCTCTTCACTCCTCTGCAGTAGCACTGTCTCTGTAGTGCACGCACCCCCCATTTCACCGAGCTCGGCCTTTTTGCAGAGGGGCAGTGGGCAGATCAGCGGGCGGGATGCAGTCTGGACATTGGATGGGTGAAGCTCCTCCCCCTTGCGCTGGTTCAGTAGGTTATGGCTCTCTGTGCTCATCATGCTCTTCACCCGTGTCACAGCCTTGTGCTCAAGCTTGGGGGAGCGCTTTGACTCCAGCAGGACTTCGCAGAGGGGTTCCTGTACCCCAAGGTTTGTCCCTCCCCCACCACCCTCATACTCTAAGCAGCGAATGGGCATGAAGGGTGACTCCACCCCTGGGGGGAGTGGTTTGACATCACGGCCATCCACACGGTCCTTGGAGGGCCCTTTGCTGCTGCCCTCGTCTGCCTCCAGTGAAGACACGCTGATAGCTGGGCCATGCCCTGGAAGCTTCCGGCACTCTGCTCCAGCTTTTGGCTGCATCCTAAAAAGCCTCTTTTTGTCCGAGACGCATGGGGGGTCCTCGTCCTCGTCGCTGGCCTCGTCATCGTAGCATATGACACGGCGCTGCCGGAGCAGAGGGCTGCGGACTGAGCTGGGGCTGCTGCAGAGTCTGGCTTGATGGGCTGCATCCGCGTGCAGGTCCGTGGGCTCAGGGGTTCTTACGGCTTCATCTGGACACACGGCCTCACTGTCCATGCTCACACCATTGGAGGCTGTCAAAAAACGACAGAAAGGCACTAATTTCCGTTCTTCATATAATAACTGGACAAAAAGGCATTCCTACAAATACAGTTATTACTGTAACTGCAGTGGCCGTCAGTTATTAGGTATATATGACACAGTCAGGTATATATGATACCTCTTTGGTACATTCAGGTTATCAGCACAACAAAAAAATAACAGTCCTAGAATAATCTCAGGGGGTTGTAAAACACACCCCTATGAGCCAGTGTAATCTACTTTAATCAGTCAGTATATATGTGGACTTATATTTAACAAAGTACAAAAAGTCCTGAATAAAGGGGTTTATGAAGACTCTTTGGTAAAACTTGCCTTATTATGATTCATAATTATTATTAAATCTAAATCTTCCTCTTATTCAAGATAAAATTCAGTCTATTCAACCTGGTACCAATATCAATACTCCAACAATATTTTCTGTTTCTCTGTATTGGTTTTATGAGTACTGGTGTGACAATTATATGCAGTATTTTGCACTTATTTACACTATTCTGAGGGCAAGGCAAAACGCTATTGTGAGGTTTTATTAATGCAACAAACAAACTTGCAATAAACCATAAAATACCAACGTGAACACAAGAGGAGAAGCAGCGATCAGGAAAAGTACCTGCAGCACGAGCCGGAGAGCCAGCCTCGTCTAATGAAGTGCTGCAGCTCCTATGGGGCAGTGGGTTGTCATCACTGGAGCCTGTCACTGCGCTCTCCGACAGTGAGGACTGACTGGGGACGCTGTGTGAGAAGTACTGAGAGAGCTCGGCCTCGGAGCTCAAGGACCCTTGCTACAGTCCACAGAAAAACAGCATAAGAGAAAGTGCAGCCCAGTAAACAGACACAATAAGAAATTATTGTGATTCAATTTAAATTTATTTTTATCGTATTAAACCACTATTTTAATAATCATTACTAAAATCTCTTTTGACCTGCGGAAGTAATGAAGCCAGAAAAACAGCAGTGTTTAGTCAGGAGTGCTGGTGCATCATTCGATTGTTCAATGTTAGCGTGTCAGCATACATATGCCTAGAAAACAAGTGTCCACTGTGCTTATTTCTGTGTTTGACGCTGTAGCGTTGCTGAGAAAATAGCAAGCAAGCGATAAAGTGAAAGTTATGGCAGTAGTATAATCTCGTTCTCAAGTTCTTACAGCAAAATTGACTTACAACCTCCTTGTCAGAACTATGTTATAAGTCAAAGAGAGTCTGCATTGAATGTTTCTCCATCCGGTCCAAGGTGTATTCGAGGCTCACATCCGATGTTGATAGGCACTAAACTCCCCCATGACCCTGACTAAGAATATGAATTAATGGATGGATGTTATATACAGTATATATATGGATGTTATATATTTAATGTTCCTTGTTACCCTGCTGGCTGGCTCAAGGAATCTCTTCATAGTCCAGCTTAGAGGTGCAGAGGCCTCACCCTGCCTGGCTCTCACAGAGGGTGAGGGGCTTTTGGAGGGGATGCCTGAGCGGAAGGAGACAGACGCAGTTACAGGTCAGCTAAGTGGCAATGTCACTGCTGCACATCTTACACTACATTTCCAAAGCACCACTGTAGCATGTGCTATCATGTGATGCAGGGCTATAAACATATTTGATCAAAAAGGGTTTAGAAAGAAAAAAATGTTGCTACATTAGTGCAGTGTTATTCCCAAGTGCCCAGTGTGAGATCTGTTCACTAAAGCAGTGAACCATATACCTAGAGGATGGGAGGAGTGGTGATCCTTGCTCAGGCTCTCTCTCTGGGTGCTGCGAGCGATGACTTCATCCATTTCCTGTTCTGAGACCTATGACATCACAACAGCATGGTGGAGCGGACTCTCAAAATTGTTTTCTTACAGCTTTTCTCAGTTGCTTTGGACAAATTCTCAAATGAAAATGGTACTTTTTATAACCACATATATAAACCTGCACATTTTTTCCCTTGATGTTTTGCAAGGGAGAATATCAGATGTGATGTAAGTGAAAATATGTGTTCAGACCAGCAGAAGCGAAAGGACATCCCATGATGTATAATTGGTCTTCTTCTTTCCAACATAACTACTTAAAATACCGTGTACATGTTTACTGTAACATACCTTCAGTTTTATCAGTTTCCAGATGTGTTTCGTGTAGCATTGTAATTTCTGTTGTCCTGAATTTAAAAAATCCACCGTTGTAATGGTTTCTAGAACATAAGTTCATGTGGTTTGGTGCACAAGCAAATTCAGCTGCCTATAGAAAAATGATAGTGAAGTAAACTGAGCAGCAATTGTCAAGGTTTAATTCTTACAGTTTTTGTTGATCGCTTCGATGTAATTCTCATATCAGGAATGTCATTTTCCTTACTCTTAATGCAGTTCTCAAAGCAATAATGCATTTCCCCACCCAAATTAGCATTCCTCATTGTACACACTGCTATTGTCTGTACACCTACTTGACTACTAAAGATGCTTTATCATTGTGTTGATACATTTCTCATCTGACTCTGACAACTCATCAAAAGAGTTTTGTCAGTCAGAACTACAGATCACTCAGTCACCTTAATACTGTCCAGCATTGTACAGTATTTGTGTTTTCAATCAAATCACTTGAAACTTTTTTCAAACATGTATGAAAGAGCAAGGCCAATTGCACACTGTCAGTGTTAGCAGTAAATTGTCCTTCAATTGAAAGCCAATAGAAAGAGAAGATGGTTAGTTGAAACAAACAGAAACACATGCACTCAATGTTGTATCACAGGTGCATGTCATGGCATTGCTGTGCTATGCTGCAGTCATGGTGAATAGTGAATAGTGCTGAGAATGGAGCAGGAAGCAGGTGTCCTGCACGTACAAGAAGCAGGCTTTGTGAGAGGACATGGTGTCCGAATGTGTGGTATGGCAAGGGGGAGAGGAGCACACAGAGGACAAGTAGGAATCAGGGGCAGGGGTAGAGGGAGAGGAGTGAGTAGGTTCCATACTGTGTCTAATAAAATAAAGGCAACAACTGTGGACCATGTTATCAACCATGGCCTAAGTTTGGCTGAAGCTGGTCGACAGGTGCAACTTCAGGTGACATGGTCTACTGTGACATCTATAATATGCACATTCAGGTTTGAGAACATGTATCTGACCACATTTACTGTATTTCTGTCTGATATGCAACACTTCTGCATTTTACTGCAAATATGTGCCTCTGTATAACAACTGATATATTGATGACCTTTGTATTGTCAGAATAGTACCACTACCTCATTCTGGTGACAGAGGGCCATTTATGACACACTAGCAGCGGATAGCAGTTGTGGACATGGTGAGAGAAAACAAGGCCATTAGGCTGAAACAGATCCAGCTTGGTTGTGGTGGATAATGGAGTTTTTCAAAACATTGCCTCTGTGAGTCTCTCCATCTTAGACTGGGTTCTGAAGACATGCTGTACAAAGTTCCATTTGAGAGGAACAGTGAGAGAGTAAAAGAGCTCAGACACCTATATGTACAGGTAAGGATATAGAGATGTTTTCTTTCTTCCAAGCTAGACTATTTGGAACGTTTCTAATGTAAACACTGTTTTTGGATTATACAGAGAATACTTCAGCTGGAGGCACATGAGATGCCACACAATTTTTTGCATGTGGAAGAAGCAGGATTCGTAGATGAGGTAATTCACCATGCTGCAGCCACTGGGCCCTGCAACACAGACTGGTTTCTTCAGTTCTTGGATGGGCTCTACAATGACCTCATTTCCAAAAACTAAAGGGTGATTGTGAGGGTTTGCTTTGAAACCCACCAACAAATGCTAATGGTCTTCAGGCTACCGTATTCATCATTCCTCAGCCCGACTGAGGGATCCTACTCTGCTTGGAGGTGGAAGGTGTATGAGCAACAGCCTCATAATGAGATGTCCCTACTGGAAGCAATGGATACTGGCTGTGAGGACGTCACGCCTGAGGCTTGGGGGGGGCTGGGTGCGGCAGGCAAAAAAGATTTTACCCTCTGTGTCTCAGAATAGAGGACATCAGGTGTGATATTAACACAATGATGTGGCTTAATAGACATGAGAGTCATACTTATATTGACTTATATGTAGTGTGACTTTACTGTACCATACAGTACAGTATGTAGTTGGTGTGTTCTAAGTTTGCATATGTTTTCTTTGTTTTCTAATGCGCATAGTTTCATGTGTATCATTTTGCTTTTCTCAGTTTCAGCTTTTACATTGTGTAAGATTTCGAATTAATCCATCACATTTCACTTTTGCATCTCAACATTTTTTAGTTTACATTAAGCCTGCATTTTCTGCAGTATTCTTTTCAAAGTCAGTAAGGTTTTGTTAAAAGTACAAAAACATTTGGTGTCTAAGTCTTAAAACAGTGGTGAAAGGTTTTTATTCATTGGTCACAGTGTTGGAGTGATTGACAGACTTTGCATGTTTTGACACGTGAAAAAGGTTTTGATTGTTTTAGTGTCTTTTGCATAGGTGAATCTGTGTTATGAAAAATGCTTTAACTATTTTGAGGACTGCATTAATACTGGTGAGAATGATGTTCCTGATGAGAGAATTGCATGAAAGCAATTGAGAAAAATTGTAAAATACTTACATAGCATGTTCATGTTGAATATGACTAAACATTTTGACTGGAATGTCTCTAGGCTGTAATTTAGAGATTTCACATTTTGGTAGCATTGACTGAATAACTGACAAGAAAATTGCATTTTGATACATGTATGAAAGGTTTTGAATGAACTACTTCATTTTGCTGTAGTCTACAAACTGTTTTGAGATATGCACAAGGAGTCGAGAGAACCCATCTCAAGACTTGAGAGAAATGATCCAAAGCAACAGAGAAAAACTGTAATATAGCAGCTGTCAATAACAAGATAGCAGAATCATTCAGATGACTGACATTGTCGCCATTGACTATTTCCCATTGTCCCTATAAATTAGCATATTCTATTTCTATCCCCAGCTTTGTGTTTGTGCGGTTTATATATAGTAGGGTCCTCCTATAGCCTAAAGTCATGTGTTTGAAGTAACCTTGACCCCTCTGAATTACCCTCAATAACGTGACTGTGTAAGTGTGGGTGTGTTTGTGTGAGTGTTCTGGGATAAGAGGTACCTCTGCCAAATATAGTCCTCTGCTTCCTAAACTCTGTGGATCTCTGCAATAATGTTCCAATTCATAGAACATGATGTGTAAATAACAGAAGCAATAATACAGTGACTTTAGACTACTAGTTCTCAATCCTGTTCCCGGCAACCCCCCCCACCCCCCCACCCCGGCCAGAATGTTTTCATTTCAACCAACACTACTTGCTTCCAACCCAAGTTTCCTCATTGATTCGAACTCTATTAAGGATCATATAAACCTGATTAAGGCTGGGTTAGAATGAAAACATTTGTGCGGGAGGGTTGGGGGAACAGGATTGAGAACCACTGCCTTTGACTGATAATACAAAACGACTGCATGTAGCAATGTGAGAACGATATTCATGCAAATCCTAGAGTCAGCAGAAAACTATCAGAAAAAAATAATAATATGAGTAATTCAAGCACCTGAAGTTGTGTTTTCTACATAATGACTCTGCTTACAAAGCAGTTAATATATTAGGTGAAACATCTCTGTCTCTGGAAAACTGCAACCTTTGCTCAAAAAGCCATTAGACCACATTAAGTCAAATTCCCTATGGGCTTTTGAAAATTTAACTTACTGGTGTTATTATGGTCCATTTTATTGAGACATATGGAATACTGGAAGGCCAAATGAATCAATATTGATTTTTCATCATTACAGGTGTCAATATTTGTGCTTGGCTACCAGAATATCTGGAGTGCTTACACTATAATAAAGATACGTTTGACTCAGCATAGTTTCAGCAGTAAGTCTTTTGCTATCATTTGTATTTTTAAATCCACAGCATGTCTACTGTGCTTTTTAAATTTGGCATTCACAGAAACATGCCCTTACTTTGAGTTCATTTATGACCATCTACATGGATTCTAGTCAAGTGTAAATAAAATTTCCAGTCAATAAAATGACAAAAAATATTCTCACTGCCAACATCAGTAGTTCTCTATTATGTTTCCTTTGGCTGTACGTGAATAAACATCTCCAAAGAGAAACACCCATCATTCAGCTTCCCAGGAGTCACTCATCTTAGCATGCCACTATTGTATTATTATTGAATTGCTTATGCTATAATGTGAATAAAGTCTCAATTATCTATCAGATCTGTTATACTGTATAGTGAACAATGATGGTAACTGGCCTCTGCCACAGGTTCAAAGTTTCAAAATATCACCACCGACTTGTTAATTTCTATACACTAATGCTGCATATTCTACCTAGCTTCTACATTAATATCCTTCTTTGCATTATTAGGCAACTCAAACATTTACAGATGGATTTCCATAATGTATACACTATTTCATTAAGGGGAAAATTATTTTCAATATGAGTTTTGTTCTTGAGAACAACAACCATTCTGAACCATAGACTAGGCACAATTACCTGTCTAATTATACAGTTTTCCCAGAGAGGGAATCTGACCCACTTGTTTAAAAACATATGAATATTTAGACAGAAGCAGAAACATATCCAAGTCATTACTCAGCATCCACTGGTATAAGAAGATTAATGGGAAAACAGTGCAAATCTCAACTAATTAGAATAAGCAGTTTAAAATGGCAAAGTTCAGAATGTAAATGTTGTGCAGGAATGGGACAGTGGTGAGAGGCCTTACTTTGGGGTTGGGGTGGCGGCTGACGATGAGGCTGACGGGGCCCGGTCCACACTCGCTAAGGACGGCGTAGGCTTCACTCAAGGCAGCATGGCGGAGGCTGACAGAGTCAACCTCCAGGACCTGGTCGCCACGGCTGGGTGTGGGATAGCAAGGGAGGGGAGCCTCGCTCAAGCAACTGTGACCTGTTCTGTTTATCTGTCACAGAGTCTATGTCAATACCACACACAGACACACATTATGGTAGGCAGGCAGATAGATAGACTTGAAGTGCCAGCACTGTTATTAACTTGAATATATGTTTTTTATTACTAAACGGTCTCTGTGTAAGGAATACATTTAATTCTAAACAAATGTGAAAAGATTTCATCCAAATCACAATGAAAATTATGCATTCAGAGAGGTATACATTCTCATCCTCCACTATTAAGAACTGAATAATAATAATAATAATAATAATAATAGGTTATATTTATATAGTGCCTTTCACAATTCTAAGGTTGCTTTACAGGAGGGAGAAAAAAAGTCAGTAATCAGGAAGAGACAGTACAGAAATGTTGATGGAAGAGAATCGTCTTTTGTACAGATTTGAAGGAAGAGAAGGAAAATCAGTCACAGAGAGATTCTGGAAGCAAGTTCTACATTTTGGGGCCATGGCACTGAAGGATCTGCCACCCATGGTGGAAAGTCTGGTGTGTGGAACAGCGAGGAGATTATTATTAGAAGATCTGAGAGAGCGAGAGGGTGAGTAAGGAGTCAATAGTTCAGTGAGGTGGCGAGGCGCGAGGTTATGCAGAACTTTAAAAGTGAGAAGCAATATTTAGAATTTCATCCAAGACTGAACCGGTAACCAGTGTAGCTGAGAGAGGATGGGTGTGATGTGAGCGGATAGTTTGGTGTGAGTGAGAACTCGAGCTGCTGACTTCTGAATATACTGAAGCTTTTGTATAGAGTTTGCAGGGAGACCGATGAAAAGGGCGCTGCAATAGTCAATACGGGATGTAATGAACGCATATACCAAAGTTAGGGCATCAGTATTGGACAGAAATGGGCACAGACAAATGATGTTATGAAGGTGAAAGAATGAGATTTTATGTGAAGACCAAAGTTGAGTGAAGATTCAAATTGTACACCAAGATTTCTGATAACAATAGCAGGTTTTACAGAGACACCATCAATGTTAAGGGCTCGTTCCCACTATGTGTGTTGCGTTGCACTTTTCATCAAGGCGCGCATTCTGCCATTCGCTCGAACATCATATATTGCATAGAAAGCAATGCATGATGGTCCTACTAGTGCGCTGTGTTGCTGTGCATTTTGAAAACACACTGCTGCACACATTTCTCTGTGCTACGCACTTCCATTGATGTCAATGAAAAATGCATACAAACGCATTCCAAGTGTTTGTATGCGTTTTTTACTCCTTACTAGTGACAATCATGTACAATCATAGAAATGGCTAATACAACGCAACACTTAAAACGTAAAAAGACATACAAATGTGAGATGAATGCAGAAAAAAAAAAAAAATTTTTTAATCGCTGTACAATGCGTTATGCTTTTCATTGCATTTTTTGGCTTTCCTAGTGTGATCATACCCTAACAACGAATCTAGAGGATTTAGATACTAATGACTTAGGGCCAATCAGAAAGGCTTCAGTTTTGTTTGTCTAAAGCTTTAAATGTGAGATGAGGAGTGTGTACTAAGATACAACTGAACATCATCAGCATAGCAGTGAAAATTAAGACCACATCTGCGAATGATCTGACAAAGGGGGAGGACGTAGATTAGGACGAGGAGGGGCTTGAGAACTGATCCCTGAGGGACACCACTCACAACAGGGGGGAGGAGGACTTGTGTGGACCTAGTGTGATAAACTGTTGTCTGTTATTAAGATATGACCTGAACAAATTAAGGGCTGACTACTGATACCAACGGAGGAAAGGCGAGAAATGAGTACATCATGGTTAACCATGTCAAATGCTGAACTTAAATCGAGGAGGATGATAATACTGAGGGAACCGCTATCGGCAGACCAGAGGAGATCATTAATGACCCACAGAAGAGTAGTCTCAGTGCTGTGCTGTTTACGGAGGCCAGACTGGAATGGCTCATAAAGTGTGTTAACAACGACGGAATGAAGAAATGTGGCCAGTGCTACAAAGAGCTCACCTCAGCCGCCCATCCATCTTTGCCGCAGATCCGGGGGCTAGGCTGTGGATGTAGATCCCTGGGGTGCTGTTTTCCAGAGTGAGGCAGCAGGCCCCTATTCCCAGGCCCACGCCTGGCTCTGATAGGCAGAGACACCACAGCCACTCACAGATACAGCTGTAGCAAGGAGCCCTACTTTTTGTCAAAGAGCAATACAGTACAGTGTGACGCCCATACAAAAAGCACATCACTTCCTATGAGACTCCTGAGAAAGCATACACATTTAATAAAAGAAAACAACATCTTCCTAGTAACTACTTTTTAGGAAAGGGCATCAGACCCACATTATGAAGGATGATTTTGATTTAATTATGTGCTGTAAAAATAATTTCTATGAGCTTAAATTATATAAGCTGTAACATGTATGTAACAGTCAACATTTTTAGTCTTTACTAGTGAAAAACTACTTCTGGTGTTTCTGGTCCATCGAATAATAATTGTTAAGAGATCTAGCTGGGTGTTACGTTTTACCCAACATCATGGTAGAACATTCTGTCAATTCACAGACAGACATTAAAGCTGATGATCAGAACCTTTGCTGAGAGTGACTTCCATTACGATCCGATCCTTGGGCCCGGGTCCCTTGCGGCAGACTGCGTCACCATCCTCGGCCCCCGTGGGCATGGATGCCCCCCCACTGGCGTTGGAGCTGGGGGAGCTGGAGCGGCTCAGCGGCGTCGGTGTGGGGCAGGGAGTGAGGCTGGGGCTGCGCAGGCGTGTGCGCACTGTCAGGGTGACCACACCTTTCTTCAGCTGCTGGAGACACAGAGGAGTCGGGGCAGCGGAGTGAGCATTTCACTGACAGAGGTCAGGCCTTCCTCTGTGGTTCAGGGACAAACGGAGCAGAAGCTACCTTGAAGGTGTTGATGGCCTGCTGGTGGGTGAGGCCCTGCAGAGATTCCCCATTCACCTCCAGGATTTCATCCCCTGGGGAAAAGTCATAAAACAAGCAGCAGATGAAGCTGAAAGGTTGCATGGTGTGACATGCAACAATCCAGGCTTCCCAATAGAATTTTCAAGTGAAGTAAGTTTATTGTCATTTCAATCATATACATAGTACACAATCAAACAAAACTCTCAGACTCTCACTCTCATGCAAGAAATCTTACAGCAAATCTATATTATTCCATTATAAACCTAAAATTAGCTAAATAAAAAACTTTGGGGTAGTTTGCAAACCCCATAGACTATTTACAAGATAATAAAACTGTTACATACATGTAAATGTGTGTGCATGTATTGTAGACTTGTCTCGAATTGAAAATCCCACTCCAGTCAGCTGACCAAAGCTAGCTGCTCTGATACCAGAATTGTTTGTGGTCCAGTGCCATGCATCAAGTACAGGACAAAAATATACAGCATACAGGGGAACACTCCACAGAACTGTAGAAAAGTTTATACTTTTTGGCAATAAATAATGAATCTCTCAATCAAGGCTTTAAAAGTTCTTAGTTAAATATTTCACTGTTACTTTCTGTATAGGTGCCTTGTGTGATTAATGAACACAAAATATGCGTATTTCCCAAGAATAGGCCATGATGCTAACAAGATATCATGGAGCTTAATGCAGACACCATGACATCAGCATACCCTCTTTCAGTCGTCCGTCTGCAGCGGCGGCACCATTCGAGAAGATGGTCTTCACAAAAATGCCCATCCTCCCGCGGGCAGAGTCCTGTCCACCTACGATGCTAAAGCCGAGCCCCTGATACACACATGATGAACACTGTGAGTGCAGGTACCCTGCCTCAAAAAAATACTGAACGTTGTAAGTGCAGGTACCCTGCCTCAAAAAAATACTGAACATTGTAAGTGCAGGTACCCTGCCTCAAAAAAATACTGAACATTGTAAGTGCAGGTACCCTGCCTCAAAAAAATACTGAACGTTGTAAGTGCAGGTACTCTGCCTCTCAAAAAAATACTGTTGATGCAGGGAAAATAATATGCTCATTGTAAGTAGGATCGGTTTCATGCCATAAAAACATTATGTAATGCTCAGTAGGCTACCACTACCCACGTTTCTTTACAAATATTACATTAAATATGGAGATTTAAGTGCTGTTTATTTAGCTTTTATTAGCAATCATTTTTAGTAAACAGTGGACACTTACCTTCCCCTGTCCTTTCATCAGGACAATATTTGAGATAACGGATGGCTGGACCAGTCTCCATGGAGACTCCACTTGAACGGTGCTTAAGGAGCGTGCTGATTTCTTCACAATTTGATATTCCTGAGAGCATCCAACAAACTGAATTAAAAGAGATCTCAGAGTTAATGACTCTCAGCTTTGGACTTTCCCTTTGAACCATTATTTGCATTACAATAGCATATTAATAACAATTAATAAGCACAAAATAACATTTATCAGTTGTCCCATTATAAATCCATAGGCATCAATATGGAGTCGGTCCCCCCTTTGCAGCTATAACAGCTGCCACTCTTCTGGGAAGGCTCTCCGCAAGATTTTGGAGTGTGTCTGTGCCCATTCACCCAGAAGAGCATTTGTTGGAAGTGAAGGCCTCACTTACAATCTCCATTCTAGTTCATCCCAAAGGTGTTTGATGGGGTTAAGGTCAGGGCTCTGTGCAGGCCAGTCAAGTCCTTCCAAACCAGACTCACCCAACCATGTCTTATGTATACCAAGACATTTTGGACAATTCTATGCTTCCAAGTTTGTGGGAACAGATTGGGAAAGGCCTTTGACTGAGCCCCTGTGCGCAAAGCAAGGACCATAAAGACATGACTGGGATTTAGAATGGGACGTCATAAAAGTTCCTGTGGGTGTAATGGCCAGATGACCCAATACTTTTGTCCACACAGAGTATTTCACACTCACATTTGTTATTTCAGCCTTTTTTATTTATTTCATACTATTTTCCTTTGTATTACATATTTTGCTTTTGATCACAATCCATGTAGCAGGTGTAAATAGCATGAATTTCACTACAAATCTACAGCGTGTGTTTGTGTATGTGCTGTTTCCTTGCAATGCTTCTGGCAGCAGTCTCTAAGGCGGGTCCCTAACCTCCATGTTGCCTGCATCACGGTGCAAAGAAAATGGAGGCGCCAGGCAGGCAAGCAGACCAACCTGTCGGACGCCTGTGGTGTCCAGCTGGTGGGGCAGCGAGTGCTTGCGCCCCCCTCGAGTCGGCTTCTCCATCTTGTTGCTGCCAGCATCCCCGTTCTCCACGATTAACTCATCATCCTCCCCGACTGACTCCAAACGGCTGCCTCCACCTTAGGAAATGTGAATGAAAGAATGAATGAATGAATGAAGGAATGAATGAATGAATCAATCAATCAATCAATCAATTAATGAATGTCTTTATTATCATTGCACAAGGTATGATGAAATTGGGAGACCATAGTCAGGAAGGATACAAATACAGAAAAAATAAGATGAAAAGAACATAAAATAAACAGAATATAAATAAGTAAATAGAATATAAAATTGAATATAACAGGAGTGTAAAGAATAAATATTTTAAAATGTCTTGAACATGAGTTAAAAGGGCAGTTCACCCCAAAACTGAAAAAAAAGTTCAGTAGAAGAAAATAGTTTCTATGATCATTGTCTCCAAAACTAGGCAACCATGAGAGATAGCACTAAAGCCCCTGTAAAAAATCTTTTTTTCAGTTTTGGGGAGGACTGCCCCTTTAAAATTCTTAGTTTTATGATTTAAAATACATAGACAGTGATTTTATGCTTGTATATTTTTATAACAACATAACAGTGTGTTTCAATAGTCATGACAGATGTTATACAGTATCATGAATTAGGAGATCATTACAATACATGATGAGAAAATTATGCATTAAAAATGGTTTTAAAAAAAAAGGATTGTTCATTTTCAGTGTGAGCGAAAGCACATTTAAGGCTGACCTTGCGATCGACTTCTGAACTTCAGGGAGGTGGGACTGCGACAGAATCCTTTCGGCCCTTCCATCCTCCCTCGCTCCTCCAATTTATCCATTTCTGGGAACTGCGAGTAAAGTGGAGATGAGGAGGTTCTCTTACTCTGACCTTATGACACAAGTTAATGCAAAGTTTCCAAGTTACCAAAGTGCTGCTGATATCACATGAGCAGCAGATCACAGTGTAAATCAGACAAAGCCTTACAGTGAATTCAGGTATGTAAATGTGAAACTTTTTTTGATCAGAACAGTTTTCCATCATCATGAGAAAACAGCAGGAATGCTTCTTTAAAAAATGATTGGTGACTTCTTGAAGAATTGTTGTATTGAAATGGGAAACCGCATACTAAAGTGTGAAAGATGATGAAAATTCTTCAAAGGCTTGAACTAGTGCCAAGAGGCCTTTCACAAAAGCTCACACATCTCACTTTTCTCAAGTATTCTCAAATATTTTTTTTTATATCTCTAAAACTTTACACACTTTTAGAAATCTAATTTTAATTAAGAATTGTGTACTTCTTTTCCACAACTGTTTTTGAGAATTTGACAAATTGAATAAAGAAAATGGCATTGCACTTGTATCAGAGGTTGCTGAAAGGTCCCCTCTTGCCTAAGGCAAGATGAGAGAATTCAATTTAATCAGCCAAATGGATCCCTGAGCATACTGAGCTGTTTTTAACAGGATGGTACATAATGGATTTTAAAATAATGGTTAGTGGAATTTAGCAATTTATGCCTCATTTGCTATGTGTAAGCCTTTAAAATTTGTTATTATAAACTATGGCAAAAAGCTTATAACACTTTAATTATCATTTGCATTTGAATTCACAGGCAGAGGTAGACTGGAACTGCGCTGCACTTCAATAATGATTGGTTACCATGGTAATAAAATGATCACATTACATGACATAGAACTACACAGTATAAGGGAAAGTCCATTTCCGACGCATTCAAAAACACCACGACCTACAATATTGGATATTAAAGTACTGTAATATCCTGAATGACATTCTATATCATACTAGTATTGCTAAAAGAAAAAGACCATTCATCATCGCATCTTTAACACATGATGAAGCCTGAGATATATTTGAAATCAGTCAAAATGCAATTCGTGTACTGCATCTTGTACAAATAAGAGCCCAGAGAACGTGGTTTCTTCCTCGAACTACTGTCAGATGGTTCCACCCCAATTAACAGGATTCTGAAATGCTTTGGGGCTCATGGCTATCTATAGGGCAGTGCTAATGTAACACGGTCTGCTTCAGTACTTGGTGTGATGACTACATCAGCAGAAGTTGTCTACTTTGAGTCCATTTATTGCTTTATTGGAACAAATCTTGGAATTTTATATAAAGGAAGGTTTTGGGACACTAAAATTTCACTCCCTGCTACGGTTACAACTGGATTACTTTAATTATCCTGAAATTAGAATTTGTCCTGACAATGCATTAAATTCAATCAGTCCATCAAAGGTAATATCCCGGGGGGGGGGGAGGAGGCCTCAAAGAGCATTTTGTGATTATTTTGGGGGGGGGGTTTGTATTGGCTGGTTCTGATTATTACACCACCACCCCCCACCCAATAATAAACACGTAAATTTTGCAAATTCTGTCAGTATCTACTGCATGGGGTGTCTGCTTTATACTGTTTTAAAACATCTATATTTATTTTTATATTTTATAGTGGTAGGTAATAATAGATGCCACAGATTTTTCCATCTAACATTTCCAATAATCCATAATACTATGTAAAGTGAAAAAATGTTTCACAGGCATCCTTGCTGATTAGTAGGAGCTCATCTGACACTGATCCCTAATAGAGGAAAGACGGCACCTTGTCAAATACTGAAATCTCAGTGGAATTTCCATTTCAACAAAAAACATGTGGAAAAAGATTACTGAAATGTGAAATGCCTGGTAACATTATTTTCTACTTGGCCAAGCTGTTTATAGATGACATTAAATTAAAAGACTAAATATTAAAATAATGTTAGCTAAAATTATACATTGTATTAATTATTTTTAGGAACACTAATTATTTAATAAGGAAACAGCTATTTGCCATGCATGATATAATTTCATGCAAGCTACTTTGGAAATATATTTTGAGTTATGCTGCATAGGACACTTGGGTATAGAAAATAAATGGATGGATGGATGGAGGGATATTAAGCGTGTTAAGCACATTATGAAATGTTAAAGTAAGGTAAGAATATGACTGAATAATTTGGTTTTTTTTGTGACAATGAAGTGGGGACTCACTGCATTTCTGCATTTTTAAGGTAGTATGACCCTCGAAGCACATTCATTGCTTTCTAGAGTGAACGCTCTGGGGCTTACCTTAATCTGGGGGCTTAAGATGGACTGCTTTGGCCTCAAATGAAAATTACAAGCTGCTTAACCAAAACATCTGAAGTATAATAATGCCCTGAGTACCAAAACACAACATCACTAACAAGACTGTTTCATAATCACACCAAGATTTTGGGCAAAAGAAGGAACCCAACATGAGCACCTCAAGTGTGTTTCAACCTTCAGCCTTAACAGAACCTTCATGAGTCAGGACAGATCTGCATGCCAGGTAAAGCCTTTCCAAGGGTGAACGTCAATGCTGGCTTATTTATAATGAGGTAGCTTCAAAAAATGGTGCCGAAAACAGGATCCAATTAATATGAAGAATAACTTAAGAAGGTAACTTCTGTGTGTCTGACACACATCACACATGCGTGACTTTAAGGAACCTGCTTTTTATGGCTGTTGATGTGTACTCCCCAGTATTAGGTCTTTCCCTGTCCCATACCAGTGGATTCCTGCCACTTCAAATGCTTTGACAGGTGGTTCTATTCTAGTCTAGAGAGCCAGTTGCTGCTTGCATAAGCCACCCACAAAAAACAGCACCAATACCCCATATTCTGACAACCGGTAACACTGATGTAACAGGAAAAATGGTTTTGGTCTATAAACAAGAAGCCAAAAATGTACAATGAAAAAATTGAATGGTCTTTCTATTTGTTTTGGCATTGACCGATAAAACAAAGTTATAATTCATTAAACAAGCCACTAAATCAATTTCTTAGAATCAGTCTCCTAACAATTAACTGGAGCAGTATTATGCATGGCTGTGGAATGACATGTATGTTTGAAGTACTGACACTGGGGCCATGTTGCACCTTACTGAAATCCACTGAAATCTTTGAGACAGAAAGACCCCACGCTTGGCACGTCAGGACAGACACCATGAGGAAAGCGGAACTGACTGCACTCAGCTTGCCTGATCATCCCATCTTTGAAGGACTGGAAATTACAATGACATCTTCTTCCAACCTTGGCCCCTCAGTGGTCTTACTGCATTTGCCTCTGCAGGCTATTATTTTTGTGTTATTGTTAGGATATCCATCTGTCAGAATGTTATTATGTAATTCTTACCCTGTTGTTAGATGCCACCTCCTGCCTGATTATGTCGAGCAAAGTTACACTTAGCTGATTGTATTTACTGTGCTTGTTAGCATGTCTCTGCTACCTTTTTCTGAAACATTAACAATAGTGTTGCTAGGCATGAAGTAGATACTTATATTACCGTGGACACAATCTCGTTTAAACTGGATATTTTGAATATTTTATATAATAAGGACAAGGTGGTGATCCAGTGGGTAGAAATGTGGCCTTATACCACCATGGTTATGGGGTCAAATCCCAACTGTGGGTGCATATACTCATAGGGGCTGGATGCAAGTTTCTTCTTATGCTCTACTTAATCCCAACAGTCCAAAAATATGCCGCTTAACTGAACCGCTCCATCTGAATTTTGCCTGTGTGACTGTACGTGTGAGTGCCTGTCCTGTGATTGTTAGAGCGAACCTAACCTTAACCCAGTGGTTTGTGTGTGCATGTGCGTGTGTGACAGCATATGATAGCATTTTGACTCAAGGCAACACAGGGAAAATATGAAAAAAGAGATATAGTGAATAATTGAAAAAAGGAGCATGAGGCACAGAGAGGGGATATAAATGATTCCCTTTGCTCTTACCCAAGAGGGGAACCCTCCATATACTGTTTACTCACATTATTTCCTCCCCAAACAAATCACTGTTTACACACAATGGGCAGCCGCCAGCCTGGTGTGAACGAGCTGCACATTAATTATTCCTTTTCATTTACTGAGCAGCTCTCAAGACTCTGTTAACTCACCATCCATCTCGAAAGCGGCACTATTCGCAAACAGATGCGGGCTGTTTAAAATTCACCGATGCAGCCACTCTGACAGCACAGCATGCAGGTAAACAGAGTCTGACGCGCTGTGCTGACCGTGACAGAGGACGCGGCAGGCGTCGTACCGAGTCATGTGTCGGCAAGGAGAGGCTGCTGGCTGAGACCTCCTCCGCCCCCAGCTCCACATTCTCCTTGTTGGTGAATGGGGGTAAGTGGGGGTCATTCGATGAACATGTGCTTACTAGATCCGGCAAACTGGTGGAGGGGTACTTCTGGAAATCAACAGCAGACTCCTCCTATAAACAGATGAGTGTCTTTTAGGAAGTCTGAGGACATACGTGTTTGTTCTGTTGATTTGAGGTTATGCATTATCTGCATTGAAAAGAGAGTCAATGGAAAGTCTGCACAATGACAGGAATTTAAAAAAAAAATATGCTGTGCACACACCTCGGAATGGAACTTGCCACCATTTTGAGTATTTTACATTAACATTTTAAAAGGCCACAGACTCTGGCTTTCCCTTTGGGAGAAGAGAGAAAAAGTAGCTACACAGTAGAAACCTTCACAGACTCAGATAGATATCTGCCAAAAATACGGGCTTTGTAATATCAAGAAGGCTCAGTACTTGTTATGTCTTTATATTTAACCCTTGCCAATTTTCAGCTGCAAAATGTGAGGTGCCAATATGTGACAGAGTAAGTTTTAAAAATTTACAGACCATATTTATTAGCTGGTCAGTGGAAGTGACTACCTAAAGCTGCATATATGCATTTTTTAATTACTATGCATTTTTAAAGAAGCTATTCAAATCAGAGGCTTAATGCTAAAATGTAACAGGCCTCTGCCCCGACCTGGAAGCCCTTCAGTCACACAACAGAGACATGGGCATCACACTCACCCTGCTGGTGACCACGAGCTGGATCACCCCCGCAGCCGAGCGCAGGACGGCTGCGGCTTCGTGGTGCGCCAGGCCCACCAGCGACTGCCCGTTGATCATCAGCAGCTCGTCCCCCGCCTTCAGCCTGCCGTCCCTGTTGGCGCCCCCCCCCCCACAGACATTTAAGATTCTGCATATCAGGAGGTCTCAGGCACAGTGTGTGAAGGCCGTTACTCTCTATGCCAGCCTATTACTCCAATTAATATTTAACCCCATGTCACATTTATACTTATGCATTAAATAGACTTAAGTATTATACATTTGTATACATATTTGGTATATATTACATCATGGGTCCCAAATGTCCTCACATTGTGAATAAAAAACTGCAATTTTGCCTTTGTGAGGACTCAATTTTATATAAATATATGACTGCAATCATACATAAAAATGCCAAAAGTCTCATATTTTGTTTTGGTTACTTGTGGGTAAGGTTTGGGCTGTGTAGGGGTTAGGGTCATCATGTTGGGCTTATAGTTTTTCCCATAGAAATTAATGAAGAGTCCCCACAAAGATATAATTACAAACTTGTGTGTGTGTGTGTGTATCAAATTTATTGTAGTAAAATAATAATCAAGACCCCTCCTGTGGATTCAGGATTCTAACTTCCAGATGGTTTCTAGCAAACCAGGAGCCTTAAAAAAATTCTGGAATCCTCAAAGAATGTTAAAACTGCATGCTTCTGACTTCACTGAATTTAACGAAACAGAAGGCAAACAATAAAATTTGTTACTTTTTGTGTGCCAAGAATGAAAACACATCATTTTATGTACAAACATGCTTTGCCTTTAGTTAACAAAGTTTTTGTATTCTGCACTAAAAATTGTGTAAATATGTTAAAATATATATATGTATATATATATATCATCCATGCATCCCTCTCCCATTTTCCAATAGGGTCACAGTGAATCTGCAGTTCTAGGAATAAGAAGGAAGGGGACACCATCGACGGGATGAGTTTAGTTTTTTTTATTGATACCTACAACTTAAAATGTTACTAATGTCAAATAGTCAGAAGAAGAACAGTAATGATCTTCTCACCAAAGGTCAATTTTTTGGACGGGAGAGAACAGAAAATATTATTTGACAGTAGGCAGTGTATATTTTCAGAAAATGTTACGAGTAATGTGGTGACTCACGGAGAAGAATTTTATTTAGTAGTGCTGTGACCTCACAGCGACATGGCTGTCAGTTTGATTCCTGCCTTTGGTCTGCATTGTGGGAGTATCCCTCTATGGTTCAAAGGCAGGTTTAGGGGGTGCCTGTCTCTACATTGCCCCTAGTATATGTGTCCTGCGATGTATTGGCGTCTGGTATGGAACAGGCTGTGTTTAATGCCATAGGCCCCATGCTTATGTTGACTTGTCTGGGATTAGCTACTCTGAGTAGAGAAAGAATAATCATTCTATTTACTTTTTATTTAACTGCGTGTTTATAAAAGAAATGTATTCACCTTTATGCCTGGGCTCTGAAAGAAATGTGCTAAAATTCCATTAAGATTTTTAATGCAACCTAAAGTTGTGGGTTTTGTTATTTCTGCCCCAAAAGAGGAATAAAAAATGTCCTGTAAAGCAAAAACAATATAGAAAAATTCACAAAAACAACTTTATTGTGGGTTTGTGCATAAATTACAATTTATTGTAATATTTTCAAATAATAAATTTTTATCATTTAGAAGATGTAGAAAATGTGCTAGCAAAAGCTTTACCTTTGGGAACACTGAACAGCTTCAGGATTGGTTAGAACAGACAGCCTTCATATGTTCCATATTCTTCAGTTTCAGAATGATCAGTTTTATTAACCATGTAGACAGTGGACAAGCTGTTCAATGAGTGTATTTCTGAAGCTTCAAGCGGCAAATGAATGGCAAATAAACATTTGTGATTCTGAATAGCCGCAGCCTGTTTTATTTACTCCTTTTCAACATTACCTTTGAGCAGAACCCCCCATTTCGACGTGTGCCACAACAATGCCGTGGGGGGATCGCTTGGAGCCCCGGCCGCCCGTGATCTGAACTCCCAGGCCGTCCTTCCCTTTCACCATGTGCATCTTCCATATCCGGCTGCCGTCCCTTGACTACAGCGGCCCAAAGAGAGACAAACAGTGGTCTGATTACCGTGCATCTTCTGCCAGCTGACAGTCCTACAGGGACAGCATTTTTGTATTACACAGAGACTATTGTTCTAAAAGAGGATGTTACAAACACTGCTAAACAAACACTCTCTCATATGCAGGCATTAAAATCTGTGTACCACAGCCATCTCTAAATTAGCTTTAAACCAGTGAAATCCCAAAAGTGACGTCCCCTGAAACAACTTGGTCCCCTTCAACATGGCAAGTGCATCCACAACCACAAGCTGCATGCTTATTTACCCTTTTCCACATATTATCTTAAGTTTTAATTAAGGGATGCACACTGACAGCAGTTGACGCCACAAAATATTATTTAATAAATGTCTTCTTTACTTTGGATCATCGTACATCTCACAGCGATTAAGCTATAATGGCCTATAACTGTTAAGCACCCTACTGAAAACCTAAATAATGGTTAGGTGAAGGAAACTAATCACAATAACAGTGTATATAACATTATAATAATGTTATAAAACAGGTACTGAAAGTATATTATATATAAAAGAGTTACTGATAATTAAAACACACCTCTTGGTGATAAATTAATAAGTGCAACTTCCATTCTGATTATAAAATGGGAAATTGCTTGCCCGGGCAGATGGATTAATTAGGGTACAAAAACCACTCTACACACAGGAATCAATATAATAAAATTGCTTATTGAAGAAATCTCTTAACGTAACAGTATATTTCTCAGTAAGATGTTTCGTGACAGTGTTAATGTTGGGTTGCCTTGGATCACGTAAGGAAACAAACTGGCTGATTCTTCACCTCACTGAACTCAGCAGCAGCAGCGGACCCAGAATTGCAGTGTAATTAACAGCATTATTCACCTGCAAAGTACCCTATTACTTTGTAAAGCCCATATGAAAAATGACAGTTATCCTAGTGAGCCCCCCATCCCCAGCATAAACTCGGTAGGTTCGTATTTGTGTGGACAGTATGGCCAAGGCCTCCATGGTTATTCATGTCCACAGGAGTAGTGTTACTATGGACGCAATGGACATGCTGAATGCAACTGGCCCTTTCTGATGCTAATCGTCTGACATCAGAAGTGTCCTATTTTAAAACGGAATGAGACGCATGAGTGTTTTTAATAAATATCTCAGTCCTGAAGGTTAATGAAAGAATTGTGTGTGAACCTAGTATTTAACAGCTCCTGTACTCTGGAACAACAGCATTGCTTGATGCACGTAATATGTGCACACTTTCAAGCTCCTTATTACTCAGGCAACAGCATGTGCATGTAAATCATACACTTCATACTTTTCAATACATGGGTTCTTTACAAATGTGATCCATTGCATTTATAAAAAGAAATGTATTTAGATAATTCATTTTTAAAACAACGCATAATGTATTGAACAAGAAACTTATCTTCTCACAGTAACAGTGGTAACATTGTTCTTCAGAGATTACAGATCAAGCCACTAATTATAAAGAAATAAGACATATTAAATGCTAAGTTGCTATGTTTGTCTTGGAAAAGTTGCCTATTAGTTTAAACAAAAAAAAACCAGATAATTCATTATATTAATGAAGTACCATAAAGGAGCTGTAAGTGCTATTTGTAACATCTTTCCAGTTTGTCTATACATTTTTGGAAGTTTCTGAGGAATTGTTATGGCTGTTGAAAACTGCAAAAGAAAATAGAGCCATGGTTCACGACTTGGAAGTATTTAATCCAGTGCCATTCCTGACAGGAGACAGAGATGCCGGACACTAGCCAAATGTTTGCTTGTAGTTATTAAATTACAGCAAGTGAGTGGGTATAAAGGAATACCAACCTCCAGCTCATACTGTAACTGCCAGGGGGTGAGCGAAATTGCCTATTGCTTATAACAGCATGGCCATAAAGCCAGCAACCAACAACTGGGTGATGAGTTGCCATATCGCAACCCCAAGTTGACGGTTAATCAAGCCATCCAGCTATCAGCCCACAGTTAAAAGGGTGAGCAAGAGGATGGTTGGAGAGAGGAGGAAGAGGAACTGCTATCTGGGCTTGTAAATGGAATAAGGGTCCTGCCTTGCTTTTGGTTTGTTAACGTAGCATGTCACACCTACCATTCTGTCCCCTAGCTAGCAGCAGAAGGCTAAGACTCCCTCAAGGTGGAGATCCTCATACATTTGGGCCTCTCTCTCCTTAATGCTGCTAAGCAGCTCCCCGACTGGACACCAGGCAAATCCATCTGCTCCCGGTTCACTTAGTTTGTCTGACTGGCTTCAGCCTGAATGCTACACCACAGAGCCGGTAACTATAACACTCCTGAAGGCCGAACGATGGACTGTCAACTAGGGATGTCTGAAGCCACTGAATGGACTATTGCCACCTATGCACTCCTGGGGGAAGATGAAGGAAGTGAAAAGACTGACCTGGCACTCTGGAAAACCAACCCTGAGGATCAGGTCATGGGCTGATGGGACAGAGTGGGCACCTCCAGGCCTGAATCCTGAACCCCAATGGAAGGGGATATAGGCCTCATGGCAGACTTCCCAGTAGAGCTTTTGCTGGAGCAGAATTTGCCAAGATTCCAGATCCTGTGTGGGACTACTCTCCACCCGTTTGACATCAGCTAACACATACATGGTTCTCCTGGTAGAGCCAGACAGCAATACTGCAAATCAGGAAGATAAACAGTAATCCCCAGTTGCTAAACACTTATGGAGAAGATGTCACAGTTCTGGCTGAGCCCCACGGTGATAGCCTGCCAACCTGATGCCAATCTGCACTTCAACAGGTGAATGAGGTGACCCATTTTGACAGCTACCCCATAGCCCAGAGGGATGAGCTGGTAGAATGACTGAGAAAAGCCAGGTTAATCTCCACGCTGAACTTCACCAAAGGGAATTAGCAGGTGTCCCTCACCCGAAAGAATACTGGCAGTTCCTGGTGCTGCCATTCAGGGTCTGCAGGGCTCCATCCAAAGGATGAATGACATTCTCCACCTACACTGGTAGCACACTGCACCCTAGCTGTATGATGTGGTAATCCACATAAAGATTTGGGGTAAGCACCTGTTCACTTATGCAGGACGCTAACTGCTAACAACCAAAGTGGTCAAGTGTTGTTTGGAAAGCCCCCCTCCAGGACCTAACCAAAAGCAGATGACCAGAGAAGGTCCAGTAACCCATTGAGGCAGAGACTGTCTTCCACAACCTGATTTCAAAGCCAAGGACACCAATGCCTGGGCCATCAGGTGGTTCCTCATGCTCTAGGAATTCATGACATAACAGCATGATGGGGTGACCCATGGGACTGGAAATAAATTAGAATAACTGGGAATAACAGAATAACAGAGGATATACTATGAGTATTGTAAATTCTCTGTACAGCACTTTGGGCCTGTGTGGTTGTTTTGAAGTGCTTTATAAATAAAGTTGGTATGGTATGGTATGGTACGGTATGGTATGGTATGGAATGGTATGGTATGGTACGGTACGGTATGGTTTGGTACGGTACGGTATGATACGGTATGGTATGGTACGGTACGGTACGGTTTGGTACGGTATGATACGGTATGGTACGGTATGGTATGGTACGGTACGGTACGGTATGGTATGGTATGGTTTGGTACAGTACGGTATGATACGGTATGATACGGTATGGTATGGTTTGGTACGGTGCGGTATGATATGGTATGGTATGGTATGGTATGGTACGGTACGGTATGGAATGGTATGGTATGGAATGGTATGGTACGGTACGGTATGGTACGGTATGGTTTGGTACGGTACGGTATGATACGGTATGGTATGGTACGGTACGGTGCGGTATGGTATGGTGCGGTATGGTATGAGTAGACTGCATGGACCAGGAGGGCATCCCCACCCTGATAAGGTGTCCAGCCACTTTGTTCAGGTTCTTCCCAGGGGTAGGCCAGCTTGGTACACAGAATATAGGGGCATCAGCGCTGTCCCAGTGCCCACAGTGCACCCTCCCTCCACCTCTTCCTAGAGGAAAAAAGGACCTGCTCTCTGGGCTTATGAATGTATCACACATGCTGCCTTATTTCTAAGCACTGCCTTGTGTTTACTTTGGTTTGAGTTCCCCCCCCACCCCGCCCCCCCAGAAAAGTCTGATCCCATTACAACCTCCAGGGGCAAGGTTATATAAATGAAAAAATCCCTTCTATTCTGAATCATAATACACTTTCTGTGAGTTATTTTACTCTTTGGACTCTATGACTTATAAGATCAGTGCCCACCCGATCTCTGCAGATTATGACTAAGAGGAAGCTTCATTGCAGCACCATCAGAGCTTCTGTACCATCACAAAAACCTCTGTCAGTCTGGGTTAGTTACGCACATTGTAGTATGGCACTCGAGCCCTGAATGATCATCCTACCCTCTGTCTAAAACCATGAGCTCTCCTTGAGGTGACAGACAGAAAATAGAAGGACACCTGCTCTGAGTCACAGAGTGAACATTTTTTAAATTTCCCTTTAAAATGATTTGTAAGCTCAACATAAATATACCATCAGATACTATTCCACTGCTAATGTGCACATTCAGACACAAGTATACAGATATTACTAAAATATTATTCAGAAAAGCAGACTCTATACATCACCACAGCAATTGTTAAAACATTTGCTGCAGTTACGTCTGGCTCCTGTCAAGGGATTCTGAGACATGCTGGGTGAATTACACCATGTGGATAAACAAACTCCTACAAAATGAGTTTAATAACAGCCTTGCCCTCTATACAATGAGTCAGAGTACAGAAAATACTTTTTTCCCTCATTAGCACCCAAAAATATGAACACTGAACAATGTAGTAGCATACTTGGGAGAATAAAATAGAACACTAAATATGTTTTAATGGTATAATATCTTTAATTTTACCATGGTAACTTTTGGGAATCACTATTACTTCACTTGAACTGTAGTCAAATGTACAAACAGTACCTGGATCACATTTCCAGAATATTAAATATGCAAATTCCTTGTACTGTAAACATTCGTACGTATCAAATCACTTTTCAGTCAATTCTGGGCTAAAGTAACTCCCAAATCCTGTGGTATGTAATACAACAAAAACTAGTAGTTCTATATCATGCTCTTCATAGCATCAGTTTCTTTACTGTGTTGTGCTTTTGATAGATCAGGACATTTGAAAGTACAGTAGGGTGCAACTTTTTCAATCCAGAAATCAAGCCATCATGTGATAGCTAGAGAAAATTGCAATTCTATGTTTGTGCCTCCTTTACTTTTAGGGTTGAATGAGGTTTCAAGTTGCTGCACCTGGAGCCAATACTGCTCCAACTTGCAATTTCTCATTACCAGAATATTACCCTCTTGAAGGATGTGTGTGATATATACGCTGATTGAAGTAGTTAAGAGAAAGGGGGGCAGACTTACTAGCCTTAACAGCGTACATACGACTGCATCTTGATTTTTATCATGATATAAATTTATATTCTTCCTTATTTTTCCAAATGAAACAGAAGGGATGTTAATTAAACAGCCTTACCTGACTAGAAATGTCACAGTCCAAAGACTCAGTCTTGCAGCTAGCAGAGAGGCGCATACAGGAGTGGGCAGGTAAGGTTGCAGATGACCCATTGTAGGGTTTATGGGTCTGCATTGGTTTGGGGGCGATGGACGCTAACCCTACCCCTGTGGGTGTGTTGCCCTGGGAGACAGTCTCTTTGTCCAATGAGGAGCAGCATCCGCCCTCCCGCTCAAAGTCAGCACTGTCCTTGCCGTCATAGTTAAATGAGGGCCGTGATATCACGCCAAACTTGCGTGTCCTTTTGCCGTCCTGTGTGGGGCTGCCCCCAGGCTCTGAGGGGATGCTGCCACGGTTCCCGCCCACGTTGCATGCATCTTCACCGCCAGGGCTTCGGCATGGTTGGGGAGGGGCTTTCCTCTTGACGCGCCGCAGCATGATTAGATAGATGCACCCTCCATCCCAGCACTGGTCAGCCAGGTAACTGCATGCAGAAGTAAACAGGATATCCACGTTGCTGTTACAGTAGTTTGCACAAGTCGTAGGTACTGTGGCTCTATGACTGCCTCAGCATTTGTCCAGCAACTTGTATCTTGCAGTTTCTCCATTCTAGCAAAAGCATGCACATTTCATTTGAACTGGGACTAATTTCATCACATAACTGTAAACCTGGATTTAAATTAAGAATATATGTCTGCATTAGCAAGACTAGGGTCATTAGTTGTGTTTGCTTATTCATACACTTTTATAGAGCATGCTCCGCTGTGGGCATTGGATTTGTTGCTAGCATTTAGGGGCTCAACATTATTTCCTGTGTAGGCCGGCTGCAGTAGCAGTTAGAAAAATTCCTTCATGCTTCACGGCATCCTGACAGGGAATGTAGACATGGTCAATCCAAAGGACTAAAAATGTCTGTGCACATCTGTGAACAGCGCGCCAGCAGCAGTCAAAGCAGATCAACAAAGAGAGAGGGAAAACACAGTAGTGGGACACGGGGTGACATTCTTGGCAGAAGAGCCTGCTTTTAAACAGAAAAAACTACTCGGAGCGAGTCATTAAAACTATACCATTCTGCTGAAGCAATGATACTGTGTTAATTTTTGTTTTCCAGGCGTAAATTAGCTAATCACTCATAAAATCAATTAGTTGCAAAACATTGCCATTGGATGCTGTTTATGCAGTCGCAATATTTATTTTTACTGGTCCCATGTGCCTAACCTATTAAAGAAATAAGGGTTGTATTAATTCTCCTGTTTAGAACAGCTGCTGTGGCATTTTTTTCACTTTTCAGTACAACTACATAACAAATCAGAAAAGCTGAACAATAATGTGACTCTAATTATTCACTGATAATATGAGCCTAAAGAAACAATTAAATAATAAAGTACAGCAGTGCAGTGTATCCATCCCTATTCCTGCAATGCTGCTTCATGGCTGTGGGGCCAGTATTTGCATTTAGGACAAATTCAGAGCATAAATTTCATCCAAAACAAATTAACCATAGAATTTAAGCTAATCAAACAAGAACTAAAAAAAACAGCCCCAGCATTCTATACTGTAAACAGATTTAACATTTACATAAACCAATTAGTATTTAATATTTTTAGGTCGCTTTTACTTCCTTTTTTAAAAAATTCATACGACTACATTAATTAACCTATTTTTAACGCACGATATCCTGAAACCAAATACAAACGTTGAATGAATTCCATGTAATAGTGGTGTTACAGCACTCTCACATCCCAGCAAAAAGCTGTGCGTAAGTATGTCATGATTTCAGTTCAGGTAATTGGCCTACTTACAGTTCCATTTCCTCTCCTCCCCCTGAGGATAAATCATCTGTCATCCTCCTGAGGATACATCATCTTTCTTGCTTTATAATTATGACCATGATTAACTGGGTTACAATAGAGAAAAAGTGTAACCTATATGAAGGGCATGATGATCAGGTGTATTCCACCACTGCTGTCTTTGAAAAAATACTATATTAAGTGTATTCGAAACGATTCCCAAGTACAATAACAGACATTACTTCATAAATATAAACATGAATTCACTCCTTAAGCACAAAAAATATTTCTCTGAAATCCAGACCATGTCATTTTCAGGTTGCTACAGTATAGATCTACACTTGATCACTTGTAATCAGAGGTGGAGAGTTCAGATCCGGAAAATCCAGACCAAGATCTTGTTTCCACCAATCAGTAAGAATCATAGCCACAGAGCACTCAGCTGGTTGCTCATAATCACATTCAGATTTAACATTAGAACACAGAACATTGAAGTTGATTATGAATTGTTCGCAAAGCATTTTATTGACAAGATTACTGATACTAGAGGTAAGATTATATGTCCAGCCTCATGTATGGAAGTTTTGAATCAGTTTTCTCTTATATCCAGAAATTATTAATTTGTTTCTTTCTTAGGACTGTTGTGTTCTGGACTGTTGTTCAGCCATTTCTTAAGAAACCTGGTCTGGACCTTAGAGATTTTAACAATTTTAGACCTATTTCAAAATTGTCATTTATGTGAAAGATATTAGAGAAGGCCACCTCGAAGCAACTTCTGCAGGCTTTGGAGGTTAACAATATCTTTGAAAAAATTCAATCTGGTTTCTACCAGAAGCATAGATAGACTTAGAAAGTGGGTTGGGATATCAGGTGTTGCATTAAATCGGTTTCTGTCTTATTTATCAAATTGGAAATGTGTGTCAACTGATGATAATTTTTCCTTTCACTTCTGGAGTGATTCAAGGGTCCATTCTTGGTCCAATTTTATTCTCTCTATATATGCTTCCCCTTGGTTGCTTAATGCAGCGTTTTAATATTTCTTTTTACATTTAAAAGGCTGCTAAAGACACATTTTTACTCTATAACTTTTAGTAGTAGTGAGTCGATGTCACTTTTATGGTTTATTTTATTAGTATTTCGTATTTTATTGCTTTGGTTTTATGTTGTCGTGTGTTGTATGTATTTGGAATAAGTTTTCTTTTAATATTTGTTGTAAAGATCTTAGCATCTTAGTATCTTCTGCTTAGAAAAGTGCTATAAAAATAAACTTTCTGTTTGGTGGCATTTACTTTAAAATGCACTGCATGATATAAAGCTATAATGGCCCTCATTTCAGTGACATTCCTACAATGTTTCTTTTTTCTATACTTGAGGCAATACAGTGTATCCACTCATTCATCCACCCATCTTACAATCATTTATCCTGGAGAGGGGGCCTGGCGCCTATCCTCAGCAACATAAGGCACCAGGCAGGGGTATACCCTTCACTGGATTGCACTAATACAGCATTTAATACTCCATATTATTATTCCAGCCATGTATATTCATGTCAGTGGATGTTGGAAAGGTAATTTGGTAACACTTTCTATGAACGCCATGTCTATAAGAATCTATGAACACATTCATAACACATTATAATGCATTCATAAACAATGCTATAAATAGGTGTGAAAAGGCATAACACATTATAGCCATGTTCATTATGCATTATGAATGCTTTGTGAAGGTCTCATCTATAATGCACTGTAGATACCTTCATAATGTAGTATAAAGTATCCTTAATTTTATTCCGACCATCATAATGTGTTATGAAGGTATCTACTGTATAGTGCATTATAGGTGACAGCTTCAAGCGAAGTGTTACTGGAAATTCTATCAATGGTAACTGATTTTTTCTAAAGGCCAGGTGTACCAGCATAAATATGTGTCAAAATATAATGTCAAAATTAGCACATAAAATTAAAATGACACAATGCACACAATGAGATACAGTACTGTGCAAATAAACAGACAGATGGTGGATGGGAGCAGAGTGGAGAGCAATACAGGCTTACAAAATAGGGTATGATAAGAAATAAGCAAAGCACCAAAAGCAAATCCACTAAATATGTTTCTGGAGTTACTACTGAAAAGAAGAGACAATTGTTTGCTATTTTTACTGTGCTGCATATGAAAAATAATCTAAACTAAATGTTATCTCAGTTTACTATGTCATATTTGATAACCTCATATCTTTCAAAGCAAGCAATTGATATTAATTAAACAGAAACTGTACAAAAAGTCATATCACAGAACATTTACTCAAATTTGATAATATTATAGAAATAGGGGATTAAACCCAGTAAAGCATATTTACAAATGAATGTAGACACTGGCTATTCCATACTTGATCATATCAGCATTTCTTGACAGGTATAGTCTGAGGAAAAATGAGGATGAAAACTATGGACACAACCGAGAGGAAAATGTTTTTCAGATTCAATACAAATGTGTTTAGCACTAGAGAAACTCATACTGTAGGTTAATCACTAATCCACTGAACTACAGGCAGTGCACAGAACTTGCTACTTGCTATGTAAGTTAAACCCACTTTACCCCACAGGTTCAGTCTGTATTTTTGCCAGACCACAATAAACTGATGGATTGGGGCTGGAGCCCAGTTTTCTTTTATTGCAGCAGGGAGGCAGTCAATCGCAGAGTAGGAACCCCCAGCACATGCAGGCTTCTGTTCACAACTCACCACTCTGCGCTGACATAATGAAACGGGACATAGGGCTCGTCAAAGTAATGGCCCGGTGAGATTTCAGTCTCTGCTTCACTTAAAGCCTTAAAGGCTCATCACACAGGCTGTACTCCTGTACGTAGTGAGAGATTTTACAAACAGCAGTAGCTAAAAAATAAAACAAACAGTACATGAGATTTTACTCATTTTATGAGGTCAAATTATGTGACCTTGGGCCAAATCTACAAACTACAGGGCTCAATCAAAGCAATATAGGATTGCAAGTTAGGACGATTCAAGATTCGAGAAACTTTATTGTCATTCCACACATGTTCGCACATGTTGTGGAGCGAAATTAAGTACTCAGGTCACAGAAAAGCCACAGAGCTAATCACACACACTTATAAAGATAAAATAATAAAGACTTGTAATCAGAGGTGGAGAGTTCAGATCCAGAAAATAAAGGTATTGGAGTATAAAGTATGGAAAATAAATTAGCAGTATGTACAGTGTCCAATACACAGAAGCGGACATACAGTAGAATGGATGCAACATGAAACAGATCCAGGTAATTTACTATATAATAGTAATAACTTCGTTACTGTGTTATAATGAGCATTGCACATATGGGCTTATTGCACATGTTACGTATCACTTAGGTGGGTGGTAATAATAGTTTAAATACTATGTTATGGGAAACATTGCACATATGAGTATATTGCACATGTTATATGTCACTATGGTCTGCTAGTGGTGGTGGGGTATAGTCTATTAGTCCTTTTGAGTGGTGAAGATGTGGGGGGGAATCTGCGTGGGGGCTAAAGGGGGGGGGCAGAGTTCAGCAGTCTTACAGCATCTGGAAAGAAGCTGTTACACAGTCTGGTCCTACTCTTGATGCGCCTCAGCCTCCTGCTGTGTGCTGGGTGGGTGGGGTTAGGGTTAGGGGTCCCTCATAATGCAGGAAACCCTTCT